ATCAGGCTATATATATATATTAATGAAAAATATTAGGAGAATATTAGTATACAACTGTCCATAAAAGATTGTGTACTAAAATTATTAAGCTAACAAAAAATGTTTGATGGCTTATATTATTATCTACTGAGATAAAAACAACTCCCTCTTCTCTACAGCAAACTCAACCAATTTACCTGTGCTATATGTTACAAAATAATCTGTACCAGCCAATTATAATATGATTGTGTTCAACAAGGGGTTATGTCAAATACCAGCTGTAAGGTGATCAAGGTATCTAGTACTCAGATCTCTATCCAATGGGCATTCCCAAAGAAATCTGGCATTCCCAGATTCACCATCTTCTGGCATCCACACTAAACAATGCATATTTGCCTCATGTTGGCCACTCTAGCTGACTTTTAACCTTCATCAACAGTGGTGTGTTTAATCTGCAGTAATCCTTGCCATCTAAATCCATATGGGCAGATGTAATATAGGAATGGGGCAATTCCTTGGGAGGACTGTAAGTTTTTCATGTTGGAAGAACCTTTGGCCACTAAAGCCATCTGTGGCTTATAATGGCCCACAAAGGAATCCTGTGTAGTTCCTGGCAGTTTACCCCCATTTGCTTTCCCCACTCTGAGAAGCCAATTACAGCTGGAAGTGCAGGAGGCTGCCCATCCAGGCAAGTGAAATTCACAGTCATAACTTTCAGGGGTCTTTGACTCATGTAATTAATCCTCCCACTGTGTCACATTGATCCAAGTACTAATTATGGACTGAGTCTATCAGGCTTCACAGCACTCTAGGGCAGATCAGAAATATTAGGAAGACACCCAAGGGTTTGGCTTTTCCCGAACAAGGAGAAGGAGAAGGAGAAGGAGAAGGAGAAGGAGAAGGAGAAGGAGAAGGAGAGAGAGAGAGAGAGAGAGAGAGAGAGAGAGAGAGAGAGAGAGGGATGGATGGATTTTGCACTGGGAAAAATGTTTTGGTAGCGCCACACATGGTGTACAGTATAATTCTGTACCATCTCTTTGAAAAAGGAAGTGGACACAACTTCGACCTGCTCTTTTTCCTCCTTCTTCTTTTTTGGGGTGGGGGGAACTGTTCTATTAATGCCAATCAAATTGAGAAAATGATCAAATGAAATTGCATTTTGAGCATCATAAGCTGTGTAATGTCTATTCTGTTAAATTGAGGCCCGTAATTGCTTCTCTGTTGAAAAGACACAACAAAGACAGCAATCATGACATGTCATTATCCCAGACTAGGAAACCGGCCTTTGCAGGGGGGACTTCAAAGGCTTCTGGTTCTCGAATTGCATTCGGCTGCTATTGTTGAAGCGCAGGCAATCTTGATTAGGTGTTTACACGGAGGTAAGGCACAGTGCACAGAGAGTCTGAGTGCCTTGGTCTAGAGCCATTAAAAAATTGTACATTATGTTCCTCGCTTTGAAGTAAGGGTTTTGTAGGGAGGAAAGCAACTCATACCGAGTACAGCTGAGCTAGATAGGTCCAGCTACTTCTCTGCCTCTCTCTCAAAGAAACTCATCATCGGGTTCTTAGAGAATCAGGCAGCACTGCAAAAGAAGTTGATGCTTTAGAAAATACAATGTGATTTCAGGAAACATTCACTCCAGCCCTGGTTTGTGCAGCCCTGCGCAGGTGTATATACTCATTTAATCATGACAATAATAATAATTACCACTTACACAGCCTTTTCTCTAAATGTTCAAAAATGGCTTATCTCAGGGCTGTTTTGTGTATTACATTCTTTTAAGTAGACACTCAGGGTCAAAGTAGATGTGGTTAATGCTTATCTTTCTTTTCCACTGTAAAAAGCAGCTGCTGGAAGATGCGATCAGGATTGGGAGCATTACTGTTCTGCTGACCCGTTTCTCCCATGCCACAGTCCCACCGCCCACCCACCGCACAAGCTGTTGCTTGGAATACAAAGGGACAGCCCATTAATCCTACTGGAAGCTTCCCTCTCTAGTGAAAGAGCAGCCAGGTAACAACAAACGAGGCCCTCCTGTAGCCAGCTACTTAGAAATACAAGATCCTGCCGGTCCATCTAGCCCAATACTGTCAACAGCCTCCGGCAACAACTCTCCAGGATATCAGAAAGCAGAGAAGCCAGGGACTGAACTCTGGACAAAGCAGGTGTTTTGCCACGGGGCCACATGATCCTTAGCATTCTTCAGTGGGGGCGCCTGGAGAATTCTTCCAAGAAGACCATGGTTTGTGGTTGGGTTATGAACTGGTTTGTCATCTCAGCTGGCCTCAGACAACACCATTACCCATAGTCAACCCATACTCAGTCCTTGAATGTGCATTGTAGTGTTGTTGTAACCCAGCCATGGCCTTGCATTCTCACTTTGGTGCAACACGTAAATTTGAACCAGCTTGTTCTTTCTACTCCTCCCTAACCTAGATAGCATTTATTCTCATACCAGGCTTTTCTGAAATCATTTAGAATTCAGTGACAATTAAGAAAATACCATACCAAAGTTTAACTCCCAGAGGCTAACATACGGCATTGACGTACTGTGAAGCACAATGCTTGTCCAACTGATTATTATATCGAGACAGCAGCATTCAAAGAAATCTGCTAGTCAGTAATGTATTTTCTCCCAGATTTATAATCATTCCACTATGGCTCTTTTTAATGCTTTTGTATGCTTTCGCTCTTTAAATATCTTCACTGCAAATAAGTTTGACTATATTGGCAGTAGATGTGAGAGCAGTTAATATCTACCCAGGAGGGTTCATCTTGACCTTGGATTAAAACTTCTGCACCAAGAGCTAGCAAAACACGTATTATATCACCATCAATGAAACTCAGTATTAAAGGAAATGGGCACAAATCAGCTCATTCCCTCATGCAGCCCCCCAGACAGCCTTTTAACACCCCCCCCCCTTAGAGGCTGAGGTCCCTTCAGACAAAGCCTGGCATGTGGTGTGAGAGAGGCCAGTGAGAGTGGGAAACTGAGGTAAAATGGTCAGAGAGAGCTTGTGGGAGCAGAGAAGAGAGGGGAGGGTGTTCTGAAGGGTTATGGTGGCAAGGAAGGAGCAGAGACGCCCACCATTTGGACATGCCGAAAGAACAGATGAGGCACGACTGCATGGCACCTCACTTACATTCAAAATTCTGCATTTGTAAATGATGAAAATCACATTCAGACATACTTTGTCATGCTTCAATAAAAGGTGAACAATACAGGCTATCGGATTTAATTCCAAATGCAATGACTCCACTGCCAGGGAAGAAATTATCCTGACTCCAAGTACCGTTAAGGCATTCTGGCGGTGCCCCCTAGTGTGTGTCCAGGTTCATATCAAGCTTTTGCTATTCGATGTTCAATATGCAGCGTAATTTAAGGAAAAACAAACAAGCAAACCTATTCTGAAGTAAAGACGAACAAATTAACTATGATGTAGAAAAACAAACCCCTTTCACCTTCCAAAAAGAAAGCTGATGTATGCTTCTGTATGAAGATCAGTAAGCATAATCCACCCCCCACACTGCATAATTAATCTTATCAGGGCAAATAACCCCTTTAGGCTGAAATAAAGGCTTACCTGAAGCAAGACACCTTGAACTCCATGGGACTTACTTCTGAGTGGAAAAGTATAGGATTGTACCTCTAGTAATGCAAAAATAGAGACCATACGAAAGCAACCTCTTGCAATTCTTCTCTTACTGCTTGCTCATGCATTGCCTCTTGGGATTTATTAATCCCTTGTCTCTTTATGAAGGTCACCAAACGCAAGAGGCCTCCCACACCTTCAACAGCTGTGCATAATTAAAAGTGTAACAGACCTGCCCTTTTCGCATCTGACTGCCACAAATGCATCATAAACTTGCTGCCGATCCCACGCACCTCTAGCCACTGTACAACTTGTGCTGAGAGAACACTTCTAAGATTGTGACAGTTGTATGGCTGCCTAACAGTTAGCACATCTCTGAATGTGTGAAGCTTTGATATAGGAAGATCAACAGGGAGAGAAAAAACACACTGACAAATACTCCAGACTGGGGAAGAAAGCATCACCCCAGAAGATAAGATCAAACCATAGGTAGGTGGACACCACTCTGGATGATATTGATGTATAGGCCAAATTCCAGTGGTTCCTGCTATCTGCTTAGAACCGCAGCTCATGCAGTGTAACAGTTGTGAGCCAGATGGGGTGAAAACTAAGCAGCGGAGAACACACTGTGCTGGAGGAAGGCTGCAGGTTCACACCTTGGCATCCTTCATTTAGAAGTATCTCAAATAGTAGGGCTGAGCAACTTCCCAACCCTCAGAAATTGGTGAGCTGCTTCTGTTCAGCAGCTAGGCAATACTAGACAGATTGGTCAAAACGATGCTAGATGGACCAGTAGTCCGACCAAGTATACAGTAACTTCCTAGTTTCTGCTTCAAATCCTCCTTCAGCCATGAACCAGCTGGCCTTGGACAAGTAGCAACTTCTTGGCTTCAGCCCACTCAGCCCTGCATCACAGGGAAATACTAATATCAGCTGACTTTACCTGTTGTTGCAAAAGGATTTGATCCATGTGTGCTACAGTGTGAAATGGTAGGTTGGGATGCATCTCTTCAGTGTCACCAACGGGATGCGTGTTTTGAATGCGCTCACATGTTAAAAAATCCTCTGCAATTCAGATACATAACCTAGACAGAAAAGCTTTTCAAATGCTCGACAAGCCAGTTTCCTACTTGGAAGGAGTTTTCTTTTAAACAAAGTGAAGGATTAACAATGTGACCCATTTGCCTGCAGTTTAAGGTGGTGCCACCCATTCTGCTATCACAGGGATTCTGCCATCTCAAGCACAGGATGTGAAATGCTTTGTACACACCTAAACTGGGAGTGCCAAACATACTTATCTAGCAGGAAGTTCCATTCAGTACAGTGGTGTTTGCATCTGAGTAGTCATGCATAGAATTGCACTATAAAGTACAGTAAATGCTAAGAATTATTATTCTTACATTTTTCAGCTTGAGATTGTTCACTTACCTGCCCTTGAGGTTCTTCCCTTTCCTTTGTACCATGGAGCTGTAAATAGGTATTGGTCTGTTGGGTAGCTAGTCCCAAGGTCAGCTTGTTCTTTTCTATGAAGTCTTTTCCATATTTCCTTTTAAATTCTTTCACTGGAGAAGAAGAGCTGTCACTCCATTGATTGGAACCACCGTCAAAAGGGCAAATGGCTACTAATTCCTTTTGATCATTGTGCAGTCTGTAAGGTCTGCTGCTCACCTTTGCAGGTGGATCACAAGAGTTCAAGGGTGGTCTGCTAAATGCAGGTGGTATATTTTGTGGTCTTCCCAGTAACTGATGGTCCCTGCATGTGGGCCTGAACTGGGAAGGGCTGCAGGACAAATGGTGGGGGACAACAGACAAGATTTCCTCCTCCTCCTCGTCCTCCTGGTGCAATTCATCCAGCTCAACAAATACGGCTTCCTCTTTGCTATTTTTCCAGTCGGGGTTGTATCTCAGCTCAGAATATCTATCCACAATTTCCTCTTGGGCACTACAAGGGAAAACAAAAACAAAAAGGAATGCTTTGGAGCAAGGCAAGCATTCTTGGGAAAGGCTACTAGTCCTGGCCATTTTAACAGAGACTAATTCAAACAGATGCAAGACATTGCAAGAAATACAAGGTTATCTGTGCCAAATAGGAAGCACCACCATCATCAAACAGTCACAACACAACGCCTGCACAGTAAGGCCCTCCCTGCCAGCATCACCATTAATCATCTTGAAAATCTGAGGTGCCGGCAGGTTCGTCCTGCTCTTCCTGAACATGCCACTGATCAGCAGTTGAGTGGCCAGGCAGAAACAGCAAGACAAGGAGTTAGGGCGGTGAGGAGCAGCAAGATAAAGGGGTGAGTGGGAGGGAAAGAGCAAGGCGATGGGTGCAGAGAAAGATGGAGCGTAGGGATAGGAAAAGGATAGAGGGGAGGAAGAGGGTTGCAGGAGTGCAATTGAGAAGGCACAGAGCGAGTACAAGGAAGAAAGAAAGGTGCGTACTGGTGGAAAATGGGGCAGGCCCAGAACGACTCCCTCCCAGCCTCTTGACTAGCAGGAGCGCCATGGCAGCCATGCTGTGATTAGCTGCATCTTCCCTGGGAGCCATTTTGTGGTGCTGCCCGCAGCTGTTCCTCATATTCCCAAATACGCCTATCAGTCCCCAAAGGCTGGGGGCTACCCCTGCATTACATGCCTGGTCTTAACAAGCCACACATTGCAAGAGCGTGAGGAGATGTCTCAAGCTTTGACCTGCAGCCCCAACCCTTCCGTGTGAGCTCTGGTGTACTTAATATAGTGTATTTTCTGATTATAATAATCCATTAAACTTCAGATAATGCCTACAACTGGCTGCACGGGAGATGGAAAGATTACTGATGCTCCAGCAGGTTTAGCTGGAACCTAGCCATCATTAATCATGCATGCAAATTATACACATGCAGAAGAGCTATTTTGAAGTGGCATAAACTGAGAACTGTGTGACACTCGTCCAGGGACAATGGAACTGCTTCAAACAAACAGAGCATGATCCTGGATGGGGCTGACTGTGCTGAAATCCAAGAGTAGGGGCTCGGCTAGATCATGCTATCCAGGGTCTCCTCGATCGATGAAACTGTTCACCCCCATTTGGATTCAACTCCCAAACAACTGCAGACAAAAAGAGGGTCTCTCTGGGCACCTCTGCTCTTTCCTGGCTGCATAATAAGATGGGGAGACAAAAGGTGCAGAGGTTCCTCTTCAAATTCCTAGCTTAGTAACGGATGCAGGCAGGGTGTGTCATAAGCATTTGCCATGTTTGTCATTGTTAATGGACTCCCTCTGAGTACATACAGTGATAATTTGAGAGTACATAAAATCAAATTTCCAACAAATGAAAAGCTTCATGCTCTGTCAGTGGAGCCTAAGACTGGAGCACCTTTCCCAATAATTAACATCCTTTTCCACTTGCAGTCACATGTTCAATAGCTAGCCACTTTGCCCACTGAAGAGGCAAATGAAAGCCACCATTAATAATTTAGCCCTCTTTTATTTTTTTTGCCATGTTTGTTTCTAAGTAGGCCATTAAATAGAATGCATTTATCGTTTTTAAATTCAGGCTTAATTCAATCCTTTTAAACAACAATTATTTTGCATTTATGCAGCATTAATGCCTAGATGTGCGTGACAAATCCAATTTCAATTTGTGTAGAAGGGGAAAGTTAATGCATCTCTCAAAGCAAGGAAGACAAAACAGCCACTCTGGATTTTTTAATTGTGCATTTATGCAGTTATTGAATAAAAAAGGCAACTATTCCATTGGCACATTCTCAAAAATCTTTCAAATTGATGTTTTCTACCATAAGTAGATACATATTAAATCCTCCTGAAGGGACTGCAACCCAAAGTACACTTATCTGAAATCAATGGAACTTACAGCCATTCACAGCTGTTGAAGCTGTTTGTGGAAGGTAACTACTCATGTAACCATTTGCTTGGATTGCCAGCCAAGAGGTGCAGATAATTTTACCATGAAATCAAATGAGTGTTTGAGCCAGAAAATAACAGAGGCAAACATCAAAACACACTAAGGAACATGGTTTTATGTTCCACAAGAAGCACCACAATGTCTCGTCACTCTTTATAGTTTTGACTATGGTACATCTTCATCAGAGGCCACTAAAAAACCCCTCATTTCATCAGTAATGCAAGCAATGTGCCATAAGATCAGGACAGGAGCTGCAGGAGAATCACAGAACCCCAAACCAAACCAAACCCCCAAGAATAGGGATAACATTCTGGGGACAGAACAAGGGAGGGAAGGCCTTCAGGCTCAGTTTGTGGACAATCCTGGATACAACACCCTGAAACTAACATTCTTCGTCTGACACTGAAGGGCTTATTTTAGGGCTGACCACAGATGTGTCAGATAGTGTGGCTGAAAGCAGAAACTTACAACCAACATGCCCGGGTTGAAAAGAAGCTTCTTTACCTTGCCTCTCTGCTGTTTTCTTTTCCACAACCGCTTCTTTTTGGAATCCGTTGTGTCTCCCCCACCTCTAGCTCTTCTTCTCCAGCTGAGGACTGCTCTTCTAGGCTGTCTTCTTCTAGGCTGTCCTGTTCCAGCCCATCATCAGATTGGCCAACCAGCTCTTCACTTTCACAGATCCGCTTCTGGAGTTCTAGCTGATACTGTCTCTCCTGAGCAAGACTTTCAGAATCAGAGTCATTCTGAGACAATCCTTCTGATGCTGTTTTCAGAAAGGAGTAATGTGTATGTGGCTGAACCAACCCATTTTGTGATGGGGTGTTTGCTTTCATACTGCCAAAGCGTTCAGAAGAAGCAGAAAACTCAACTTCATATGGCACATTATCTGTCTTCTTTGGTAAAATACCATCCAAATTGTTGCTGATGTCTTAATTTCCAAATCTGCTTTCAATCTCTTAGGCCCTTTGCATTTGCCTTGAAAGAAAACAAAGGATTTAAAATAAATAAATTAAAAGATCCTTAGAACCCTCAACTAAAAAAAAGAAAAGAAAAACCACTTCCTGATTTTAAAATTTAATTTATCTCAAATTTTGAAGTATAAAAATCTGAAAGATGGGTATACCTTCTCATGTAATTTTTAAATATTACCGTATTTGAATTATTTAACCAACTCATATCCTTATCAGGCATGTAATAAGCAAATTATAAAAACAATCTGGTTTCATGCTTACAATAAATGAGCCCTCAACTATTTGCCTCAAAGGCTGTCTAGAGTCAGAATACAAATATGCCTTCTGCCATTAGAAATATTCAGATCTTACCTGAAATGTACCTGAGACTTACCTGGGAGGGAGACCCATTCCATACAGTAGGACCACTTTCTGATTAACCCTACATTTCATAAATTCATTCTAAACAGCCCCATAGCTCTCTGGGCAGTGTACAACAATCCATGAAAAAAGATGATAAATTTCTATAAAAATAACCTATAGATCTCACCTTGCCAATGTTAAAAATGGGAGAGGAACAGAATATGCTGTTTATTGCATCCTTTGATTTATTTGTTTGCTTAGATTTAGAAATGGTTCTAACATTTGCAGTGCAGGGGGAGGTTTTATTGGAACAGAGGCAACCCTAGAGTGATTCTACGTGACTGTACCAAACTGGTGAGACCAAAGGTTCATCACCCTAGCTCCTAGGAAAATATCACAGGTAAGACATGAGTTGAATGTCACAATTTCACCCGTGTTCCCCAGTAACTGGTGTGCACAGACACATGGTCTCTAATACTGGAGGGAGCATGCAGGCATCAGTGCTGGTAGCCATGGATAACCTTCTCCTCCATGACTTGGTCCAACCTCCTTCCACAGTCATCCAAAGTGGTGGGTGCCTCCACTTCCCATGTAGCAATAAAAGCCCATTTAGCTTCACAGCAGAGCCTGGACGGGGCTGATACAACACACACCACCGTGGGGTGAGAGAGAAGGAAGGCTCCCACACTTGAGGAACCCCCAAATGATTCTGCAAGAGAGGCTGTCCCTCTTGCAATGCATTTGCTGAAAAAGGCACCTGGGCAGAGGATGATGGGCAGAGGATTGCACTGGGCAGCCATGGTGGGAGCAGAATGCTGGCCCAGATGGACCTGACTCCGCACGAGCCCTCCTAATTCTTCAGCAAGCCCAAGGCAGCTATCGACACAAGCTTTAAAGATGGGCAGTAATGAAAAGAAAGTCTATCAGATCTCAGTTTGGATAAAGGATGTGTCCCACAGCCTGCAGCAGCCCCTTCTCAAGGGGACAACCAAGCATTGAAGAAAAATCAAGGCAGATGCGGATTGTCCTGTTGGAATCACAAACGCTTTTATGCACACACATTTTTCCCAGTGGGCACTGGATGGGCAGAAGCAGAGACATGGTGTGAAGCGACTCTCCTCCAAGCTGCTGCACTCCCAGTGTGCTGGACAAGGGATGCTGGGAATTGCAGTTGAAAACTTCCAAAGAGCACCATGTTGGAGGAGATTGGCTCAGAGAGGTCAACTGACCCCTCCGAGCTCATTTAGCAGATCCTGCCCCCCCCCCCCATCCGCACATACAGCCTTTTATCTCTGCATGATAGGCAGAAAATCAACAAGGGAAGTGTTTTCCCAGGCTAGCCAAAGCTGCACCTGGTGGACTTTGCAATTGAAAGCAGCTGCTTAGAAGGTACGGACTTCTGCCAGGTGGTGCGGGGGAGGGGGGGAATGCAGCGCCCCGCATCCCAATTTCTTTCCTCCCAATCCGCCCCTGCACATTCCCACTCCTCTCTGCGCCCCCCTTACCTCTCAGCAGCAACGCCACGCGCTATTCACGGAGCCACTGCCCGCAGCATCCGCTGCGCCACTAGCGTGGCGTCTCCATGGCAACAGTACACAGACCTCCATCCCGCCCATCGGTCCTCCCACCCTCCCCGCCTTTTACGGCACCTTCCAACTCTCTAGAAGCGGGGGAGGGGGGAGGAAGTAGTCTTGCGCACCTCCTTGGGCAGAGGGAAAATGGTACCTCCCAACGCCTCTGGCAGAAAAGTGTGCCTTATCCTTATTTTTTCTTCCTAAAACGTGGTGATAAAATAATGCTTAAAAGTGCATCTCTCCATCTGCGGTCCTGTATATGTGTGTGCAAAACCCCATGAATCGATCCAAACCGTACGAATCCACAAGAAACGCATCCCAAATGAGATGGGAAAAAAAATCTTTTCTCCAATATCGAAATACTCTTGAAGGAGGGCAGGCTTTTGCTAAGGTCGTTGTGGTGGAATGGGCTGCAAAATTGAAAGTGGGAACGCATCCTTGTTCAGGCAGAAAAAAGTGCCACAACCCTGAACCCTTCCCAGCTGCCACATCCCAACTGTTCCTGGATCCCTCAAAACGGAGCCCTTCAACACCCACTAGCTTCTGCCCTCCTGATATTTATTTATTTATTTATTTATATTTATTTATTTAAAACATTTCTGTGCCTCCCCCATCGCAACAAAGTCTCGGGGCAGCTCACAACATAATTAAAACATACAAATAACAAATAATACACTTAAAGATTAAAAAGCCCGGTAACATCACGGCTAAAATTTAAAATCCTATAAATACATAATAAGTTAACAATTAAAATAAGTTTTAAATAAAAAGGTCTTGACCTGGCACCGAAAAACAAATAACGATGGCACCAGGCGGACCTCTCTGGGGAGCGAGGAATATATAATATATGGAATATATGTTCCATATATTGGGCGCCACCGCAGAGAAGACCCTCCTCAGGGTACTCACCCTCCTAATATCTTTCACAGAGGGCTCCCGGAGAAGGGCCTCTGCTGCCGATCTCAAGGGGCAGGAGGGCAAATATGGGCATATATTTTTATTTTCATTGTAGATGTATTATCAATAATACTGAATTATTCCTATATTGATACTTATCAATAAGCCTTTATTAATAAAACAACGAGCAAGTGGCTTGGCATTCATGTATTAATAATAATTTCCTCTCCTGGTGACTTTATTTCCAAGAATGCTTCAAGATCTCATGCGGGTCCCAGTGCAGTCTTAGAAAGCAAGGTTGCAGCTTAGCATATCCAGCAAAAAGAAAGTGATGCTAGTGAGGTGGTTAAGGGATACAATTGTGATAATGGGAGGGGGGTGGAAAAATCCAGGCTTCTCCACCCATTTTTACACCCCCCCTCCATGACTCCATGTCTTCACATTCTTGGTAAGGGTTGGCCCATGAGAGGCAGCGGTTTGCGAGTTTGCGATGTGTCAGTCGGCTCACTTGTGGCGATGATTGTATGTTTTGCTTGGGGCTGCCTGTCTGCTTTGGTTGCCTCTTTCGCTGGGATACTTTGTGGCGGATCAGGGATCCTCAGACTTTCAAAACGGGGCCGGTTCACTGTCCCTCAGACTGTCGAGGGGCTGGACCGTAGTTTGAAACAAATATGAACGAATTCCTATGCAGACTGCACATTACAAAATAAATAAAAATAATTAAAATTGAAATAAATAAAAATAATTAAAATTAAAATAAATAAAAATAATTAAAATTAAAATACAAATAAATTAAAATGTGAACAAATAATTGAAAAATTAAAAATGTTTGCTCTGCTTGCTTGGGCTGCAGCAGAAGCCCAAGATGGCGCCTCACCGCCCGCCAAAAGGGAGAGCACGGCAGGAGGGCAGCCGGGAGGGCGCGCTCGCCTTGGTCCAGGCCTTCCCAGCTCCGGAGGAAGGAAGGGCCCTCGCAGGCGCTCGCCTGGCCCTGGAGGGGGAGCGGAAGGCCGGAGAGGCGGGCGCGGGGAGGTAACGGCTGCTTTCTGAGGCGAGGGGAGGCGAGGGACGGGGCCATGGCCGGCCGGCCGAGCGGGGCGCCTCCCTCCTCTCCCCGCTCGATGGCGGCAGCTTGCCCAGAGAAGGCCGTGGCGGAGGCATGGGAGCCACAGCCCCGCTCTGCCTCAGCCTGTCGGCCCCCGGGCTTGGTGAGGCGGCCGCGGCTTGGCCCACAACCCAGGATATGGCCTACATAGTTAAAAATGGATTTTAGAAGCGATATTCTTCTTACCTTCTATCCTTGTTTAGTGTCTTCGTCTTCTCTCTTCTGCCCTCCTCTCTTCTGCGTTCCTGCTCTGTATTCAGAGCCAGAGCACGCGTGCAACGCAGGGTCGGGGGGAAGAGCCGGCGCACACGCAGTTCAAGGTTGCTCTTACAATTTGGCACGTCTGCCGGCTCTCTGCTAGTCCCCAACACTGAAAGAGTTTCAGGGAATGCATGTGCTGGCTCAGAGCTTTCGGACTCTCTCGGAGATCGTTTTCTCCGAACGAGTCCAAAAGCTCTGAGGCGGGCTGGGTAAATGACCATGGCGGGCCTTATCCGGCCTGCGGGCCATAGTCTGAGGACCCACGTTGTAGATGGTGAGGAAAATGTTTTGTCATTGAAAGCCAGCTCTGCTCTGTGCTCAGTTCCTTGCCAGGTTACTTTCCCAAGCTTGAGTCCTTAGCTTTTTATGAAATGGCTGCTGAACCAGCCTGGAGTGGATTCCCCAAAGGAGCAGTTTTGTCTGCCGAAGTTCAGACCCCAGGTCAGCCTCGTGTTTAGATTAACTTGACCCGGGAACCCCATGGCAGCAGGTCCCTTGTGTCTGCACACACACCTCTCCTTCCAGCACTCCTTCACACCCATTCATGCATATGGGGCTGGCTTCTACGCCTTATTGCATCCAAGGTGTGGTGCATGTGTGTTGTGTATTTACCTGTCCCTGCCTCTTTGCCACTCTCCCCAAACCAGCTCCCCCCTCCCACCCACCTACATGCCCACTGCAATTGTGTCTTGCACCCAAAGTACTGGTCCTGAAATGGTTTGTGTAATCCTGAAAGACGGGTGGTTGAAGGCTGAGGTTGCATGGCCAGCTTGCCTCCATTTGTTACCTGCAATGCAATTGCATTCTGGGTTCATCACAATGTGAAGAGAGTTCCACAAAAGTGACAATTTTAAGTGGAAGAAATTATTGTGGATTTTGAAGTGGGCAGGATCTTCCACTCCTCTCCAGAAAATTCGTGGCAGACCATGGCTTATTTTGTGGCACAGGGGCATATAAAAGTTAATACCTTGATTTGGAATGTTTGTGTGAAGCAGGAAATGAGGATGTGTTCCCACCATTCTGAGTTGCTTGCATGTGGAATAAGTTTATTTCTTATGGCTACTGGGTTCAATCCTCACTTTTCCTTAGAGTGATGTAAATAGAAAAGAGCACTTAAAAAAAAAAGGTGAACTGAAAATTCAGGAAGGGCCGGGAATATCTTCTGGGCCCATATGACTTCTAGTGGGTACGAACTTGATTGTACTTCAGATGAAGAAAATGGCCAGGCTGGCTTTTAAGGGAAGTAGTTTACAATCTCATATCCTAAACAGCACTCATTAATATGTCCCTATATTCCTTCCTTACATTCATCTTTTATATATGGGGCAGATTATTAATATGGGCAACACTTCCAACTGCCTCAAATGCTCCCCCTCACCTGTTACTGTTTCTACAAGTCCACAGAATAGCCTTAGTCAAAATGATCCATTCACATAAACTCACCAGGTGGCCTCAGCCTTCCCATCTGTAATATGGGTTCCGTCATTCTGACTTACCTTACAGGTCTGTTAGGAAAACTTATTAAGGCAACGTGCATGGAGTACTTTGTACACTCTGCAATGCTTGATCAAGGCTAAGTATTTTACAGCATCCAACATACTGGCTAAAAAAACATACACAAATGACAAGTTTTTAAGAGCACTGTCAGTACATTTTTCTTTTTATTTGCAATATGACTATTTCAAGTAGAATTCAGGAGGCTGGCCTGGCCTGTGATCCTTGGAAATGTTGACAGCTAAGAAATATATACAGAATGAGGCTGTACAGAATAAATAGGGAGAATGCCACTCCAGGAAACTATATACAGTACAATATTGTCAGTAGGAGTGAATGCTTACAGATCACTTCGTTTAACATAGGGGAATTGTTTCTCGAAGACAGATGAATCTTGGCTTTCTTCAGAGTTCTTTGATTTCCTCATGCATGAATCTTGAATTATGTATCTTTTGCTGGTCTTCCAAGGGACTACTAGAAAAGATAAATACATCATATATTGGTATTTTCTTCCTACAAAGGTGCTTATTTTTGCTATATATAAACCACATGCAGTGACCTCTGGCATTCCTGATGAATAAAAACCCATTCAGACAATATTATAATTTACCTGGCCCTTAAGATCACCCTTGGAAGCCTTCTTCTCTGCTCTGCCATTAAAAGATGCCACAGTGAAAGGTGTGATAGACAGGGCCTCATCAGTGGTGGCTCCACATATGAGGGATTCCTTCCCCTGAGAATGCAACATGCCTCGTTCTCTTGCAGTTTTGAAACCAGCTGTAAACGCTTTTTATTCCACTCAGCCTTTACTAAATGTACTGCTGACTTATGATGCCTTTCAAAATAAATAAATAAATAAATAAAGGGCAGGAGCCAGAGCCAGAGGGAATTCACAGGCAGAAGTCCAACAGGCAGAGTGTGGGGCCTCCCATAGAAGAAAATGCTGAACTCATTAGCCAACTGCACTGATTTACATCCAACTATAAATTAGCTCAAGCATCACCTCCTCTTTATTGGAGAGGGGGGTTCCCAACTAGGGGGTGCAAGATAGCATTTTAAAGACAAAAAGGAAGGCTGCATTATAGCAATAATAAAATAATTTATTATTATTTGGTTTGCATTTGGATTCAATTCTCTTTTGCCAATCAAGAGAAAAACCAGGAATCACTGAATCCACAGGCAGACTTACAGATCGCAATCAGCAAGGAAGCTCCACATTTTGACAAAATTGTGAATGAGAAGCAAGAACAAAGAAGTCATTGAATTTTATGTTCATGCCAGGGATTGATTTTATTGCTTACAATTTTTCCTAATTGCTCAGTTTATACTTGAATTCCATGCACTGAGCAAAACGCTTATTTTTCTGAGTTCACTTTGTGCACAGTACTGTATGTAATTCAGTTTGTGGTTCAAAACTGAAAAATTTGACTTCTTCCCCTTCGATGGCGATATGACTTTTGTAGGGGATGTGAACATAAATCAACATTTCTAGAGGTGCAGGGCATAGAAAAGGTTGGGCACCACTGTTGTAGACTGTGGTGTTTATTCTGAGTTGCCTTGACTTTCTGAAATGGAGAGATCTGGTGACCTTCAGCTATCCCCCAAAACCAGTCTCTTGGATGCCCCTGCCTGACCTGGATGCTTGGCACAATGAATTTGACTGGATTATCTTTGCAGCTGCTCTCACCTGGATTTGGCACACCTGGGGACAGGAACAAGGCCTCCCACATCATGGGGATGTGGCTGGCACATGAACCCATGGAACAGGGTCCGTAATGCAACCCTGTGACCCCCTCGTGTTCTTTCAACAAGTGAGGGGTGTTTAAGGGCATCTTCCGCTGGGTGGAATGAATCATAAACTTGGGATGGAGAGAATGAAATAGTGAGGGGTTTACGAGGGTGCTGCTGACCCGCTTGGCCTTTGGCCTGGCTTTCACGCGGCCAGAAGATGGGTGCAAAGAAAGCCATGATTGTGAAGGGCCAGACTAAAACTGAGGGGTCAGCTTTGGCTGCCAGGTGGTAAAATGGTAATTTTGAAGACCATGCACTTGTACTGTACACAAACTCATTTCTCAGCTCCATAACTTACCATTTCTATTCTTCTTTTGTTTATGATTGTCCTCATTTGGCCTGGGCCGATTACTCTCCAGGGTCTGTTCTGAAACTTCATTTTCTACAGAGAAGACATCCAGAAAGAGCTACAGTGAGTTACACCATATTTCTTCATGAAGAAGCAGACTCTGGCAGAAGTGAGCCGCACTGGGTTCCATGTGACTTACTCCCAAGGAAGAGTATGGAAAGGTAGTGCTATAAATTGTATGTAGTGAATGCATTATTTGAACATGATAAAAATTGTCATTTTATACCCTGCAAGCTAGTTTTCCAAGGATTCAATTACTTCCATCATGATTCATGCTGATTACGGTATGAATTTCTGTCCCGCCTTTCATAATATTTACCCTCAGGTGGCTTACAATAACAAAATAGAGTGATGAAAGTTCCTAAGTATTAAAATAACAACGAAGTGGTATACAATATCAACATTAAAGAAATTTCAAATACAGCAGTTTGTACAAGTTTTCCCAAACACAGTGCCATTCATTTATTTGAATGTAGACAGAAGTGAAAATGTGAAGATCTTCCTTCAATCCAACAATGAAGGCAGCACACTAGTCACCCAGGATGGCTATCCAGAAACACAGGGCCACTGCAGAAAAGGCCCTGTTACTAGTAGATACCACCCTGCCAGCAGTGCATTACAGAGTAGAGGTTGGAGTGCTGAGGTTCGTATGGTTATGCGTCACTTTATTGTTACATGCTTCTGAGTTCACACAGGGTGAAACGTTGAGCCCGCTTTAACATCCATCCTTCCCTTGCATTTTTACATCTCGTTCCAGAAGGCAGTATAAAAACCGTGGGTGCTGTGGAATTGTGCTCTTCTGCGCTCTTCCCATCTTTCGCCCATTGAACTTCCTGCTGGTGCTGGCACCTAGTAACCGGTGCCACTTCCTCAGGAAGAAGGACTTCTGTGTCTGACCACCCACTGAGCTCTCTGTCTCCACTCCCCTGCTATGAGACATGTCCAGCCTCCAGCTCCAAGTCCTCCCCACAGATTGGCGGAGTCCAAACTGTCAAACCCTCCTCCTCTTCTCCTACCGCCTCATCCCCAAAGGTTGGCTCTTCTCCACCCAAACTTCCAACTCCTCCCTGCATATCTTCTCAGACATTCCCTGGCCTTGGTCTACTCCTTGGACGTGCTGAGATTCCATTGCAATCTCCTCCTCACTAGCTGAGCTGGGGTTCCCCTCGAAATGTGCAGCTGCCTCTGCGTGCAAGGCCCCCTTAGCATGGTATGCATGCAAAACCCATATGAACACAGGGAGACCTTCAGAGGGTCTGGTTCCAAACCATGTAGGGCTTTAAAGGTCCACACCAGAAACTTAAAACTGAGCCTGGAAACTCATAAGTGTGGGAAAGGTTTGATGTAATCTGGTCACCTCTCTCCCCCTACATAAAGGGCCTCCCAACCACATAAAAGTGAGGTGGTAAAACAGTACACCAATCCCTATCACATTACCACAATTGTTATTGAGCTACATAAATAAAACAGACACTTAATTACTGTTATCTCCTCTCTTTCCTCTGAGCTGACAAGATGTCAGCCATCACTCTCCTCATCTTCATTTTATTCTCACAATGAATTCAGCAACTGACCCAAAAGTCACCCTGCCCAGCTGGGAACTAGAACCCAGACCTTCTGAATCCCAGTCCAAGCTCGAACCACTACACTGCACCGCATGTGGTACTCTGCAGTAAGTGCCACATGGGGGTCAGGTGACTGACCAAAGATGCTTACTGTGGAAGCAGGAGCGGTTGTGGCAGTCATTTTAAAAAATCACATTGTTGCTTAGTTTGATCAGCCCCAGGCCTCACCTTTCTTCCATTTCCTATGTGCCTTCCACAGCTTTGCTATGAAGAGAATGACGAAGATAATCAGAACCACGAGCAACACCGTCACAAGTGCTGGTAGCAAGATGTTTGGTTTCCTTAAGAAGATTCCATCATGGGTCAGGTTTGTTCCTGGTTTTTGGGAGGAAAAGAAACCAGTTAATGCCTTTGAGTATTCAGTTTCAACAGACTACTTGTGTTCCCTTTGGAAATGGATATTAAGTTCTGCTAATTTACCATTCTTTATCTGGGAATCAAGAGTTATGTCCGTACTCAGGAATGGTGTTTGTGTAGTCAGGTCTCCTTCTGATACATTTAATATTTTGCCAGACCCTGTTTGGAAGCAGAAGAATTGCAGCTTTCAAATCTCACAGCAAACATTTATTGTAATGTTCATAAAACAGCACACTATTTCAAATAAGTGGTATCTATACATTTAATAAGGAGAAATGATTTTCCGTTTTTGCGTTTGGAAATGGTTTGGAAATCATGTCAACGTACCGTGAATGGTACTGGAATTCAGAGTTGCTCTGCCACTGGTTGGAAATGGTGTTGGTAAGCTTGAGTTTTCTTCTGTTCTGTTTAATGTCCTGGCTAAATCTTGGAACATGAAAAAAGAGAAGTGCTGCGACTTTAATATCTTATGTTGTTAAGGGTTCGTTCCCACCGTTATGGAATGCTCTCCCCAGTGAAATCAGCTCTGTGCCCACATTGCCATCTTCTGGATATCAGCTTAGGATTTTCCTCTACTCCCAGGCATTGGATAGTTCATGTTAATATGTTTAATGCATCAGCCAAATTGTTGGCAGCTGCCACTGATGTTTTTAGTTATTTTATGTATAAGCTGCAGATTAATGGATAGATATTACAGTTGTTTTAAATGTGACATGTTGTAAATCATCTTGAAGTTTTGTGCGGGTTTGGAGGGTTTGTTTCTGTTGGTTTGAGAAAGGCATTTGCATGTTTTGAGGGGGAAAATTCCTAACACTCCTAATAGTTATGCTGGCCAAAGAATACCAGGAGTATTAGGAGGTTTTTTTTTCCTATCTAAACAAGCATAGCATTGTGCCTGCAATCACTGCAAGAAGAAGAATCGCCCTGCAAAGTCAGACCATCTTCTTTTTCCTCAGGATGGAGAGACTTAGGGCATTCCACCAATATGCTGTAAAGGGGATAGCCATGTCCTGCTGTTTCTGCCCTTCCTCTGGTCTTCTCTGGTAAACTGCCACTGGTGATGGAGGCTCCATTTCCCCATCCGAGCTAATGGATGAGTTGTGTCCTGCATGAATTTGTCTAAGACTCCTTAACTGGTGGCCATCATGGTATCTTGTGATGGCAAACTTCCTATCCTACTAGTACATTGTGTGAACATGCATTTCCCTTTGATTTTGCGCATTTTATTGCTCTTGTTGTGGCTGCTGGCCTGAATCTAAAATGAGGCAGCACTGGTGTTACTGTGAATAACTTGATGGCTGACACAAGCTGCATATATTGCCAAGCTCTCGGAGAGCTTTGGCTTTGGAACAGTATGTGGATGAAATTATTAACAATATGTAGGCTCGTGGGCAGGGTTAATTCCATTTTTCCATTTGGAAATCATTGCTTGGAAATTGCTTCAACATACCTCTGGTGACAACGGAATTCAGAGTTGCTTCTCCACTTCTGGAAAACGGTGCCTGCGTACTAAAGCTTGCTTCTGTTGTATTCAGTGTTTTCTTTAATCCTGTTGACATGAGAAAAGAGAAGAGTTACTTTCAGGCTGTAGGAAGGATGTATGAAAGCTATCGCTAGCTCAGACCAAAAGTCCATCTAAGTTGGCATCTTCTTTCCCACAGTCATCAACCAGGGAGAACCAGAGTGGTTTCTAAGCCCCATGGCTTCTCAGTTTCATGGAGTCTCTCCTCCCTGCGACCCAGGAGGTACCAGCTGTAACCTGTGTTAGCCCCATAACCTCTTCCCATAGCAGCCAAGGACAAGCTGGGCTTGATCCTCTTATGGCTCCCAAGTAGCTGCACCGACTGGGAACACGGGAAGTTCCGTACAGCGCTCATGGCTGCCAGTTGCCGATGAATTTCTGCAGATTTACCCAGTCCCCATTTGAAGCCACCTAAGGTAGCCTCCACCCATACCGGTCAATCAATAGATAATTAGGTTGTTTCTTTGTGGGGGGAATGCAGCAGTGCTTTTTTGGATGTCCATGTTGGTCTTTACCTGTGTAATGATGGGGCTTCTCTGTGGTTGTTGTGCTAAAGCCTAATGGGTTTGAAAAGGACTCTGCAGCCAGTTCTGGAAAATAGAAATGCAAGAAGTTCTGAAGTTCTCATTTCGTGCATGAAAGGTTTTATGCATTCCTTCATCCCATGCAGCTACTGCTGCTCAAGTGGAAAAAGAAGGCAGAACAAGATCTCATCTCTCCCATTCTTGTAACAGAACACAGGGTCATCCATGCCATGCTGTTGGATAGACTCAGGAGAGAAAAAGGAAAAAAGAAAGAAAAAAGGAAACGGAAATTCCATTCCAGCTCAGATGGCTTTAAAAGAGGGCTGAATACGTTTATCGATTATCAATCTATCATCAGCTATTACATGTGATGGCAAAATAAAACCTCCAGGGTTGGAGGTAGTCTATTTCTGTATGTCAAGATTCCATGCAAAAATGGGCATGGGCTATAGCCATGAGGTATCCTGTGGGTATCTGGTTGTCTAGTGGCTGACATCTTTACCTAACCAGACCCTCGGTGATGTCTGAAGCCATGCTCCAGGAACCACAGTCTGACTTTCAGCCTAACCTACCTTGCAGGGTTGTTGGGAGGATAAACAGAGAGGAAGTGAACTATGTAAGCTGCCTTGGGTGCCTTATTGGATGTGTGGGGGGAGGCAAGATCTAAGCTAAAAAAATGCATGCATGCATACATGCAAGAGACAGAGCCTTCAGAGTGGTGGCACCTGTCTCTAGAATGTCTTCTCCAGAGAAGCTTGCCTGGCACCTATATTCTGATTTTTTTTTTTTTTTTTTGTACCAAATGAAGTGGTTTAAAAAATCCTAGCTTTTTAAGAGCAGTTTTAGTATGCCTAGCTCTTGTGTGTGGGTGTGGTGTCAAGTTGTTATTTGCTGCAGTTTTGCTGCTGGTTTTGCTTGCCCTGAAATGTGCTAAACACAGGAAGGTAGAGGCTGCCTGCGTTGTGAAAGATGGCCCATTTCTCCAAACTTTTTTTCTCCTATGAACTTCTTTTAGAAAGCAATTCCTTTTCTATCAGGATGAGTGAAAATGGGGAAGACATTTCAGTGTTCCGTCCTTGCCTTCCTTACCCCAGAAAGTGGCTTCTGTAATTAAATCAGTATTATACCATTTTCAGTGTTGCATACAGCTCACCGCACAGATCTTTCACTTACTGATATTCTTGAAGTGTAAAGTTGTCATTACATTTCTTCTTCCGAGAGCTTTGTGACGGATAACACAAGAAATGGTAGAATTTGGCAAGTATCGGTAGACTATGAGGGTGCTGGTTGAATTGCAGTTTTTCCCCTTCTGCTGGTGTTTGGCATCACCTAAAATGCATTTGGGAATGAAGGTAGCACAAATAATTCCAAAGGGAAAGTTTTTATGCATGCATTAAATTAAAAATCTGGAGGTTTGGTTGACCAGTTTGGCCTGCCAATATCTACCCAGTTATTTTGAATCCATAAAAAAAGTTTGTTTGGTTGATTGATTTATATGCCATCCAATTAGCCATAAGGCTATCTGGGCAGCTTAAAACATAGTCAGTACAAAAATACAATAAAACCAATAATAGCAATAAAATAAATAATAATGAGCAGAAATAAATAATCAGTAAAGAAAATAAAGTAAAATGAGATGGGGGGATACAACATATTGAACCAATTTGAGCAACCATAAAAATAAAAAAAATCATACATAATTAATCCATAAAATTATAATGTGGCAGCCACAACTAATAATAGTAAAACCTTAAAACCATCCTCAAAATCAGAAGCTCATCCACTCTTTAACAGTTCTTAGCCCTCCTATTCCTGTCAGATTCCTGCCTGCTTCCTTCTTTGTTGCCTTGTTCTACTGGAGTATTTTCATCCCCCAGTTTGCATTATCTTGATTTGCCCTTTCCAAAGCTTGTTTTTAAAACACATTTGAGGCTTTTCAGGATTTGGCTTGACCCTGATTTAAGAAAGCATATTAAAAAGTCAAGGATGCTGTATCAAAAGAAGTAAATTATTTGACACTTACCCAAGATCTCCATCCCATTGTCCAGCAGCCACGTAATCCGAGGACGGGGCTTAGGGGCCCAGACAGAACATTTTAAAACAACCTTTTCATTTTCGTTGGGAACACTAATTTTTGATGCTTCCAAATGACTTTTGATGGGTGCATCTGTAACAACAAGATAAATAATCAGATAGGCAACTTGTACTCTTGCTACTGAAAGGTTGCCTTGGCTTAAGCCCCATCAACACCCTTTCCATTTCTTCATGTTCTCATTCATTGAAAGCCGGAAGTTAAAGGACTAACCTAAGACAGTGACGTTCACCAGCTTTCTTTTGACTGGCAGACTGTAATACAAACACGTGTATACACCGTTCTCATGCTTCTTTATATTGGAGAGACGAATAGACAAACTATTCTCTGAAGAATGGATAAGTTTGTACCTCTGATTTTTCAAACCTGTAAAAGGACACACAAATGGGTAAGAGAGAGAGTAAGAGCCTTTCCTTCACAGCCTTCCACCATCACAGGTGGCATCTAGTTATGAGCTTTGCTGAAGGCATGCAACTGTAGCTGTCAGTAAACGGTCGCTGAGAATTGTGGGGAGGCAAAGCTTTACCAGACAAGTTGGGTTCCCAAACATTGATTGAAATCAGAGTAGGCAGAACTGGAGGGCTATGAAAGTTCCCACCAGTGAAGAAATGCCGCCATCTTGGCTCTCTGTGCCTAGACCTTCTTCCCAGAATCTTCCACATCAATCCAAGATACTCTTGGACATTCTCCCCAACCACGCCTTTGCTTTAGTCACAAGGGAGTCCTTCCTAGGTCAAGCTGGGAGTGGGATCCTCCCCACAAAAGCTGGATTAAAATTGGAGGCCTGTTTCGACTCACAATGTTTTTGCTGACCCTGGGGTGAGGGGAGGGAGAAATGGGTTGGGCTGGCCCTGGGAACAACATAAGGTGATGGCCTGTTCCCATAGGAAAGCTTTCCCAGCCAGGTGTCCTCCAGATGTTTTCGGCTACACTCCCATTGGCCCAGCCAGCATGGCCAAGGGCCAGATGCTGAGTGTTGCAAGACAACAACTAATCAGGAACATGAGTTTTGAGCCCAGACTTAATCAAGAAGGACCCTGTTCCCTGGGCCTCAAATATATTCAGCCAGGGAAATTCTGCTCTGGGGTAAACATCTGGCAGCACCTTAAAGACTCATATGTCTCTTGTGGCAAGTGCTTTCCCAGGCCAGGAGGCCACTAGGCCAAAGGCAAAGTGTACTGCTCATACTGGAGCAGAGACATTTTAATTTTTAAAAAAATTGTAAAGGCCACCATAAACCTACTGGAAGGAATTTCTGTTTTCACACATCCTAACCACAGTGGTGGGACTTCCGTTGCATTGACGCCTTGCAAGAGAGTCGTTGGCTCTGCCAGAAGCAAATGGTGTTGGTGTATATGACTCAGACTGCAGCAGGAAATCCCACCGCTCCCCTTCTTCCACTGGAAAAGCTTTTCTTAACTTACCTTGCCAGCTATTGAAAAAAAGCACAAACCCAGAAGGGTTCTTCCATTCAAGTGCAGACTGGCCATCTCCAGCAAAAGCACAGTGCAAGTCCAAATTCTGTCCTTCTAGTACAGTTTGGTGCTCAGCCTGATACTCCTCAAATGCTCCTGCCAAAGAAAAAGTTTCACTCAGTGCACTGTTGATTGAGACTGACCAACAACAAGACTCCTGCAAAATTAGCTAACTATGTAAACAGAAGACTGTTTGAAGAATTTAATGATGAACAGACATTTATTATGCTCAGGATGACTAATGGGAGTTGCAGGGAGTTTTGAAAAGAAAAGGAAAAGCAGTAGAGGATTTGAAGCGATTGGAAGATCTGTTGTTTTATAGATTAATGATTTCGTTTCTGTTGGATAGATGGATACAGGAAGATGGATAGATTTGGGGATTCAATGCATAGGTCATATCCATTAAAATTCCTTTGGCAACTTTGCTCACTTTGTTTATTTTAGTTTGCTTTGTTTCACATTCTCTTTTATGGATTTGTTTATGTTAAGAAAATACAGATTAAAAAAACAAAGACAAAAACAAAACCAAGGTTGCTTCTGAATGAAACAGAAGAATCCCCCTGATAGCTTAAAGAGTTGGTATTTCAATCCATCTTTTAAAGATTATTCATTCCTCCCTACACACACGACAATTGACTGCTGCTTTTAACAGTAGTCTCCAGGACTATAGCCTACAGCCAAAGGACTGTAGCTGAAAAGGAGCTACTAAAATGCAAAAGAGGGAGTTTGGGAGAATGCTGACTCCCATGCCAGTGGGGCTGGCTATCCATGGTGCTTCACTGGGTAATCTGTTTTGGGGATGGGGTTTGTATAAAGCTCAAAATAAAAGCTGCAATGGATTAAAAGAGCCGGCGTAGGCTAGTGGTTTGAGTGCAGGACTGGGACTCAGGCGATCGGAGTTCTAGTCCCCGCTCAGCCAGTCCCAGACTCTCAGCCCAACCTGCCTCACAGGGTTGTTGTTGTGAGAATAAGGTGGAGAAGAGGAGGAGAATTATCTCAGCTGCCTTGGGTTCTTTGTAAGAAAAATGATGGGATATAAATCTGATAAATACATATAGTGATAAAGAAAGAAAAGAGACACATTGACATATGAATCAGCCCATCCATGGAAGCCTGCCTCCCATGGAGATTTTAGCATGCTCATAGAAATCCAGAAATCCTAAGTAAATTTTTTAAGGGGTTTAATTTTGTTAAGCTGGAAAGTCACAGGCCTGCAGCTGGATGGGGGACCACATGTGGAAGTGGAGCAGGGGTTGGACTTGATGACCTCATGTTTCTCTTCTCTTCTCTGCTCAACTGGGCCTGTCTCTCAACCTAATCTACCTGAGGACAAAAAGTGAGTAGGCTGCCTTGCAGAATAACTTATTTGATACAGAGGAACAAGCGGTACCTGCAATGAAATGTTGTCGTGCAGAACATTCCTGCCCACCCTTCCAGCTTGCCAGCCAACCATGCCCCTTTCCAAGATACTCCATTACATCCCTTTTAAATCCCCAACAGTACACCAGTGTCCCCCAGTGCTTAGTCCTCATTGGGCTGGCTTAGGGTGGGACTTCCCCCATCTTTTTTCTTTGTACTTCTGCAAACTTTATGGCTCTTCTAAGCCTATTGGTACTTCTCTCTTGGTAGGGTGGCCATGTGTCCTGTTTTACAGGGCAGTCCTCAGTTTTGTGGCATCCTCTAAAGGACTGTCCTGTTCACAGTTTTAAGAATAAAGAACTGAAAAGACTGAGGGGGGATATGATAGCCCTCTATAAGTACCTCAAAGGCTGTTACAAAGAGGAAGGTCAAGCTCTCTTCTTGCTGATGGCAGAGTGTAAGACTCTGAATAATCAATTCAAGTTGCAACAACCCAGATTCAGGCTGGACATCAAGAACAGTTTCCTCACTATCAGAGCAATATGACAGTGGAACCACTGCCTGGAGAGGTGGTGGGCTCTTCCACACGAGAGACATTTAAAAAGAAACTGGGCAGCCACCTGAGTGGGAGGGTGTGACGTGGTGTCCAGCACCAGCAGAGGGTTGGACTCGATGGCCTTCTTGGCCCCTTCCAACTCTACTCTTCTCTGATTCTATGAGCCCAAAGGGAGAGCAGCTGCAGCCTTGAAGTCGCCCATGCACAGAGAACACCTGGATGACTTAAGAAGTAGGCACATGGGTCATCCAGTTATGGTGGCGCACACTGTATTTCTATTTCAGTAACCATTCCTACAGTTTCCTCCATATACATCACTTAGCACATGCACTTTTTCCACTATACACACCCTTTAGCTTAGCATGTGCACTTCAGTTATCAACTTCTGTGCAAAGCACCGTCCTCTTTCACTGACTTTTCTGGCAGTGCATCTGTGAGCACCCCAGAGGCATTGGCATCACACCAGGCCTCCATCCATGTGGAGAATGAGTTCACAATTGCCTGTAGGGCTCAGTACAATGTCCCATAGTTCTATCTCTGAAAAAGAAACACCTGCCAAGCGCCGTGTCAGCTGCTTTTGTGGTTTTCCATGGGGCCTCGACCACACTTTCTGCTTCCTCTGACTAGCATTAGAGGCTGCAGTGAAAGGTGTGTGAATTCACAAGCCCTCGAACTGAGACAGGAAGGAATTGCACACACGCACCCCCATCCTAGAATCATTTATGCAAAGCCTTCCATTTGAAGAGAAAGAAAATCCACACAGAGGCAGTGGGCACGGCTTGCATGCACATCCCCAGCCTCGTAAATAAAGTCCTTGCGTTGCGGTGAACAGCGGCTCAACCTGCTTCCACCACAGTTTGAACAGTTTGTCTGTCTTCAGCCTTGCACACAATGTCTCAACCATGAGCTAAATAGAACATCCAGGGGTGCAGTCGTAGGTACAAAGACTCAGGGCTCAGGCACACAGGACCAAAAGCAAACAGACACACACACACAGACAGCCCCCAAACCAAAAACCAACAAAGCAAAACAGTTTTGCATATGCTAATTTACATAGGCTCTCAAGTTCCTTCTTTTTTTACCAAGAGTCTTTAAAGGACACTCCCCCCCCACTTTGTAAAAAGGGGTGCAGCAACAAAGGAGAGGAGAACATTTGATTCAGGAAAAGGTAACGATGCAGATGGGGGTGAGCGGGAGGTGAAGCACATGTGGGCAAAAAGCCACTTCTTCTAGGGAGATCAGTTGCGAAGATCATCCGGGCCCCTGTATCTTGCTTTCGGCAAGGTGCCCTGAACAGCAGGTTGGTGGGGCCGTGGGTCTCCCAGAGACTCGGGGCTCCAAATCCAAGTAGGCTGTTCTCAAAGGCTGAGAGAGGAACCCTTGGGGTTGCTTTGCATGCACACCTACCACATTCTTCACCCTAAAAGCAAAAACTGAGGTTGTAAAATGGCAGTGGTGTTGTTGGTGGGAGAGGCCAATGCAACTGGGAGCAGTTAAGTTGAATCCCTGAACATACTGAAATCTGTTGGGGAAAAGCTACTTTCTGCCAGGCATTGGGCTCCTCTCCCACCTTCGGTTAAATCTGGCCTTGTACAACACCACATTCCAAAACCAGGACCATTTCTGGATTGAGTCAATGCTCTCCTTTTCATGGCGTGGAATCTTATTTCATAGTGCTTCGCAGTGTTGGCAGGGTATGATAGGAGCTGTAGTCCACCAGAACTGGAGGGCACCAGGCTGGAGCAAGACCATCACCTGGGATCATCTGTGGCTCACTGGACAACCTGCTGGACAGAAGGGGTCCCCTGAAGCTGGAAAGTTTGCATAAATAAGCTCCCCATTGTTACGTACCATGCAGCGGCAGCAAGACCAAGAGGCAGAGCAGGGATGCGGAGACCATGTCGTGGTCGTTGCTGCTTTGCAGGCAGTCCCTCGGTGACTCGGAGAGTTTCCTCTTTGCCTCTGCAGCTGGCTCCTCCTTTTCAAGAGGGCAGCATGTGCCATGACCTCACCGGTGGCAGGATCTGCCCCCTTTCCTCTCGCTGCTCCCACCTACCTTCGCACCTCGCAGACTGAGGCACTTTCCTCTGTGGCTGCAGTCAAGGACCCCGTGACCCTCTTTGTGGTTTTTTCTAAAATCAACCTTTTCTGTGGTCTCTGCTGACACCGGGCAGCTCAAGAAAGTGATCTTTAAAGGCCAACTTGTGGAGGGGGAAGGAATTTCTTTCTGTCAGCACATCGCTGATAATCTTGCAGACTTCGTTAATGGGGGAGACGACCCATTTAGGCTGCAGTCCTACTTTGCACATGATTATTTTGGGGCAGGTGATGGAAAAGGTGCAGAAACAAACATAATCGCGGTCCAGAGCCTTGTCCCCTGAGAAGAAACATTAAGCAGCTGCAGTGTTTTGGCTTGGAGGAAAGAAGGGAGACGTGACAGAGCAGAGGGAGGCAAGCCAGTGCCTGCTGAGCTTTTGGACTACATCTCCCATCAGTCCCAGCCAGCATGGCTGATGGCCTGAGAACATGGGAGGGCACAACACGCGAAATGGCAAGCATTTTGTGCACCTCTCTCCAACGGAACTGTACCGTCGGTCCTTTCACGTGGTCGTCGTGGACATCAGACAGCTTGGCAAACTCTTCTCTAAAGGCTAACTTGTGTGGGGGAGAAGAATTTCTTTCCATTTTCTCACAGCCTGAGCTGCAAATGAGGTGGATTCACCATTCTGAAAAATAGGCTTTCCCATTCGCAATCTCACACTCACCTCCTCAAGGACATAAAATTGACATAAAATATTCACTCGTCTATTTTCTAGTCAAGGATGCACTGAGAGCTTGGAGGAGCTTCTCTGGAGACTCCATCATCTGGGGCGAGTGGACCGGTGACCCAGAGAAGGTCACGTCTACCTTGTCCTTCCAGTCCCAGGAGAAGATTTTCCATCTGTCTCTCTTTCCCAGGCATTAAAACCCTTTAAAGATATATCTCAGTTGTACTACACTGCTAGCTTAAATATTCTTCATTACTGTTGTTATTGCATTAGTTCTTTTCATTCCATTATTGAAAATATTGCATTTTGTTCTGTCTAACCTGCCAAGAATTGCTACTGCAGCACTGAGAGTTTATATTCTAGAAACAAATAGGTAACTAAGCACAGATTGGCCCCAATCCAGCCAAAATGCCATGTACTTTCAGCCTTACTTATTGAAATGGGAAGCATTTAGCCACTTTCCTTGCTCTCTCCACTGAAGTCAGTAGGACATGAACGTGATTACTTGGAGCCAAGAAAGGAAGGAAAAGAGTGAGGACTTCTGTTCCATGCACGCTTGACCAGGTGATGGCTGAAGCCTTTGCGCACTGCTAGAAACTCTACAGCAGCTCTTGAGCTTCTCAAACACTCAGCACAAGCTCGTAGACAAGTAGAATATTGCTTTTAGATGTAGCACACTTGCTTCTTCCGGGTCTTCCAGAAGTCAGGGAGGGAAACCACTGCCCCATGGGACATTTCCGTGCCGTGGGAGTTGCCCATTCAGCCTGCCCACTCTCTCAGCCCTGAAAAAGGGTAGGCTTTATCTACTGGTGGGAGAAGAAATCAGCTCTTATCTCCAAACAGAGATTGAAGCTAATAGTGGAGAGAGTCCTCTCTCTGCCACTGTGAGAGACTCTTCTGCCTGCAGAGGATGAAAGCAATCTCTTCACACTTCTGTTTCCTCCGACAAACTCCCATATGACGTCAGGCAGTGGAGCTTCAGAGGAGAGAATGGTGGGTCTGGAAAGATAAGCCCAAGCCCCTAACATCTTGCAGCCCCGGAATGGGGACAGTTGCCTATCCCTCCTGAAAAGCATGGGGCCAGGAGAGCAACCTATGGCAAGTTCAATGGGGAAGGATCATAGGATACTTCCTGTCTTTACCTCTTTCACCAGCTGCACCAAAATAGTCAAAAAAGATCAGAGAGCGAAATGTGCACTAATGTCATTAATCTGTCCATTAAAACCGGCTTGATGTTATGCGCTAGAGACAATCTGGAGAGACCCAAAATGGAACTTTATGGGAGAAAAAGGACTAGACACTTTCTGCACAGATACTGTGAGAAACTCAGACTGCGTAGTTTTTATTTGGATCAATTGTTTTCAGGTGACAAACTGTGGAAGATGTGCAGTAACACAAAACGAAAGCAGCAATTTTCTTCTTCCTTTAAAGCAACATTCTAATAACTTGAAAGTTGGCATACAATTTTCACTCTGTATCGTAAAGCGTTTCAACAACTTGAAGGTATATGTTGCCTTCTTAGCACCAATTCCATTAATGCAAATGCTTAGCCCACTCCAAAAATACTGGAAGTTCATTTTCATTGTGTTTAAAGAAACCTAACATTTGAAAGAAATATCTGCACATCTAAAAATATACTTTTAAAATTAGATTATGTTCCTCCCTTACCTTTGCTTTCACTGGCTAGAACAAGGACTTTAAACTCTTCCTTCACATGTTTTGTCACCTTCAGTGATACTTACTTCCATGGAAGTGCACGCATGCTTGCAACCTAAATAGCTAACAGAGCAAATTGTATAGCGATCCAATCATTCCATACATCTGGGCTTGATTCAGGTTATACCGGATGTTTGAATAAGGACCTGAAACAAATATCCCATTCGGTGAACACCCACCTAAGAGGGATGGTTTAACTTGGGAGTCCTGCACTGAGCAGGGGGCTGGACCTGAAGGCATTCTGGCCCCTACCAATTCTGCTATTCTCTGATGAAAGTGTTGTGAGATATTTTGACTCTTCTCTGCCTGGAATGCTGCTTGTACTTACTCTGTAGAATATGCCATTAAATATTATCAACTTGCAAGCTATCAGTGCAAAAACAACCCCTCCCGCACACATCTGGGACCCCTCCCCCCCATTAAATATATACCAGTAACCAACATTTTGGTTTTGATTGTCATTCATTGTTCAAAGTTCATTAAAATTCTTCCACAGAAAACTGGCCTGGAAAAGCCATAAACTAACTCATTTTCAGAATGTCTGTACATAGTCAAAAATAGTTTAAATTACATATATGTATATGCATACATGTGTGTGTGTGTGTGTGTGTGTGTATATATATTCCCAAAAATACCAGCAGCAATAACAACTACAAAATACAATGCTGCAATTCCCTTTCTTGCTATCACCTCCCTTCATCTCCTTGATTTTCACTATACATCCCTGGTAAAAAATAATGCATCTGAGAATGTCTTGCTACCTTTCACATGTAAAATGTACACATTATGATTTAAGTAAACATACGTATTGCACACAAAAAGCATTTTGTTGACTCTGCATTAGTTCACTGCCTATGGGACCCCTTCAAAGTTCCTTATTAGGGCTATATCCTCCTCTAGGTACAACTAAATGAGAGCTGAACAGAAATGGATTCCAACTGGTGGTGTTCTTTTGCTCTGCCATTCTATGCTCAGACCATAGCATGAATCAGCATAGAACTGGGCATCTGTTTCTTTTCAGGTAAACCTCATCCTGCAGAGAACGACTGAACGAAGGGACAAGGGCACGGCTGGCATGATAAGGCTGAAAGGCAAGCTCCTTTTGTGTGCAGTGGTGTTGTTACACAGCGTTCAGCCCAAGGGCCAGTTCCATTTGGGAGCAGCTCTCGTGGCTGCATTCCAGTGGCAAAACGGCAAGGAAAGCAGGGCCGAAGCCCCAGCATATTGTAATTTAAGGGCGCAATCCTACGCATGTGTATAGGATTGCACCTTAATGCTCTTTTAGTCATTAAATAAGCCATAGCTGTGGATTCTGGTGGTTTGGATTGAGGAACAACTGCCAGGAAACCACCTAATGATCGCTGACAGGGAAAAGGGGAGCAGGGCCAGAAGGGATGTGTGGCCATCTAGAGAACTCCTGAAAGCCAGATTCTGCAGCCCTAATGTAAAGGATCATGGTAGCTGGTCTTTAGAATGGGGCCATGTTGAGTCATCAGGGAGTATTAGGTCTAATTGTAAAAAGCTGACTTCCTCACGTGCCAAACTTGTAAACAAGTGCCCGGAGGACTAGATGCTAGTAGACCTGCATCTGAACGTTTTTCTGATGGTTTGCATAGAAGAATCAGCAGTGGACCTGGCTGCCATCTTGTTTTTCTCTCTTTACTTGTTTGATACAGAATCTCTCCTAGAAGGCCATATCTTGTCCTGTTTGGGGTCAGTTTAAAGATATTTGAAAGAATGTTAAGACATCTACAGACCAGGCACATACAAAAAAGATCTTATTTTGTATCTAGTGGAAAGTCTTGCAATATTTGGTCTCACATGCAATCAATGGCAAGGGCTAAATCCTTAGGCTATCTGAATTAATAATGTATATTTTGGTACCAACATGCAAAGATATTAGTTATTTCTACAGCATATAATTTGGCCAACAAATCTTGGTCTCAGTGCAGGCTAAAATGCTTAAGATAGTTGCTTCTACAGGGGCACAGTGAAATAGAGAAGGACTTCCACCATCCAAACCTCTGCTACCCATGTGCTGTGCCATTTCTGAACTGGATTTGTGTCTTCTGGGTTGGCTCACTGTACAGTGAGTGCTTCACTGTAACAGGGCATCTGGTTCCCATAGTCTGGATGCTCCTCAAAGATCACGGGATGCTTTCTTGGGTGCAATTATAATGCAATTATAATCCAGGCCCAAATCTGGGTTTGCAAGTACTATCATCAAGAGGCCTGTTGCTGGGGCCATTTCTGCCCCTTTACTGCCTTCCATGGGCCAATACCTGGCAGCAGTGATCCCAAACTCTGCTAGGCAGCCCTGAGTGAGAGTCTAGGAGTCACCCTTTTAATTTCGTTCCATCTCTTGGTTCAGACCTGCACCAGGAACAATGTGGGAAATCAAAAGGGTGGCCAGGCATGCACTGGGAAAGCATTCTCAAAGCGTGCCCAGGGCAGGTTATTGGTGGCATGAGCAGTCCATGGGCACACGATCCTATGTATTAAACAGCATCCACACTTACCTGGATACTTCTACTCACCCTGATTCTAATTTTCTGAACCATCATTCAGATCAACATTCTCTGGGTCCATTGTGCTTTGGTGACTGACACAGATTCATCCATGGTCCTTCTGCTAGATTCGCTTTCTAAGAATGTTTGCTTACATTAGAAATTCTTGATGCCTACTGTACCAACAGAGGCTTGGATCCAGATTTGGAGGAGCAGGTCGCTGGCCTGGTGGAGGTGGACTTCCTCCTGCCCTGAGGGCAACCACAGAGCACCCTGAAAATGCTGCACAACGTGTTGGAGAACTCTACTGAGTGGTGAAAGAGACCAGAAGGACCTTCCATTGGTGGAGCCCTCCTGGCAGAGAAACCTGAGCAAATGCACTTTCAGCAAATAGTGGCCATCATTTTAAACTGGTTGCCTGTATTTGGAGAGGCATGGCAGTGGCTGGAAGCATAAACGACCCAAAACGAAACCCCAGGATTTTGGTCTATTTCAGAAAGGGAGAATCATCTTGCAAGTCATGGGGCAAAGGCATGTGCTTAACAGCGATGGCCCAAATGGTCCACTCAGAAGGAATCAAAAATCATGGGAAGAATTACTATGCACAGCTGATACTAGTACTTGTTAGGGCTGAGTAGTTGCCAGGGGCCAAAACTATCAAGGGGCACACCAATGCAGTGGACACTACCAATGAGGTAGGCATTTAATACTGTTCTGCATGGCCATGGTTTGTGGATCAAGGTCCCAAAGGATGCTTTGCATGGCAGGTGTGCCGCTGCAGACGGAACACCACAGACAACCGTCCAAATGACCGGAAAACACCCGGCTTTTGATGCTCGTTCAGGGGCAGCAACGTTGCTGAGCACAACAAAGTGATATGAGTTCAACATGATGGGTGAACAAGCCCTTCCTGCTCATATTTTGGTTCCCATCAAGTTCCCTTCTGCTCATTTCAAAGATTTAAAATCTATTTTCAAGGTTCTGATAGTGGAAGTAAACTAGGCACATGATCCTAGATTAGTCTTTTGGACCGGGGAAGGTGCTCACTTCTACACCATTGTGTTTTGGGGAGAGGGATCCTGTGGAACGCGTGAACAATGTAGCAAAAAGGGGGTGGAAGTGAACTCCATCCCAAATGGCTCAGAACAAAGCTGCAAAGGTCCATAATGAAATTTGCAAAGGCCAAAAATGAGAAACGAAACAAGCAACAAAAGTGCACAATTCAGAGCACAGTCCTAATTGCCACTAACATTACACAGAAGGCAGTGAAAACTGGATCTCCTCCCTGCAGCTTAATTCAAGATTTTAAAAAAATGTACGTTAAAGCTCAGTAGCTTACATCACAAAGAAATTTCTGCCAGACAGAAGCCTGAAGAGAGAGACAGTGTTTGAATACATGTATATTTGTCCACAATCCAAGCATTTGTCTAAATTGACCTATTTTTCTAGACGCACCGAATTCACTCTGATATGCTAGAGTGTTATTTTTGAATCCATTTAAAGGTTTATGAATAACTTTCTCCTGTGTCAGTATTTTGCTTCAGTTCCAATGCATAAGACATTCTCCAGTCTTCAGAAAGGCTCTCTCTTCAGTGGTTCCCCTTTCCTTTTGCATTATTCTTGTAGCAAAGTTTCTCTCCAGTTAAAGCCGCTGGTCGGTCCATGAGTGAGAGGAAGGATGGGTGGGTCAGTAAGCTGCCACAGGCCCGTGTCTCCAAGTTCTTCACAGCAACAAAACCCCAGGTATGGAATCTGCAGTTCACAGACAGTGTGGTGGAGGCGGCAGGGTTCAGGCAGAGAGATAAGATGCGAGAGAGAAGGGTTAGCTGACAAGAATGCCTCTTGCTTCCCTGCAATGCAACCTTCTCTCGGAGCTCAGGGCCTCTCATGCTCATTCAGGACATTGGTCTCGGAGTCCTTTGCCATGCTGCTTCTGCAAACAGCACGGACCATTCATTGCACAGCGTACATCTGAGTGCTGGAATTCGCTCACACAAAGGTAGGGAGGACACCAACTAGGGTGGCTTTCAAGGGGATGAGAGAATTTCATTATCTACCAATGGCTACTCGTATTACCTCCAGTACTGGAAGTGGAATGGGCCCAATGCTGGTAACTGTGGAACATGGGTGAAAGGGTGCTGTTGTGAAAGGGGGATTCTCCATGTGCAGCCAGCTGCCAATGGTGGGAACAGGAAGCTTTGCAAGACAGAATCTTTTGAAGGAACCGTACGTTCCTACTCAGAGCCCAAGTTTCCTTTTGTCTCATACAGACAGTACAACCCCATTCCTTAAATGCGTGTAATCTTCTGACTCATGAAAGGATTGTTTCTATTTTAACTCTGGAATGGCATCATCTTTTTTTCTGAAATCATGTCACAGCCAACCCTGGAGCTTTCGCACTACGTCGTAAACCCCTTCCTCCCTTTGCCATTTTGTTTACCATAATGCCTAGTCTAAATAAGATCCTTACAGTAGCTCCTAATTATGTTCTAACTGTTTGTGCTCAGAAGCAGCAATGGCTGCCACTCTTTGGCGGACGAGTCTCCTTAACCGTTACAGTGCTGCCTTGTCTCAGTGCCCAAGGAACTTTGGGCCTGTAGGATGATATTAAGGCAGGCAAGCTAAACTCTTTCTGTCCCTCAAGCTACAAGCCCTAGTTAAACTGCACAACACACTTTCTTTCAGAGACGCTCCTGGGCCAGAAAGTGCTATTTGCAATCCATTTCTACCGTCTGACTGACACCAGAAAACCTCACAATATTTGTGCAACAGGCTGACAGATCCAGGGAAGTAAATTTCCACAAATACCCTCAATATATCCTCAAAAAGAGGGGGTGATGACAGAAGCAGAGCATAATTTCGGATCTATTCAGTTTCTCCACATATACCATAATTTTGTGTGAGGAACACCAAATAAATCGATAAAATAGATTAAGCGACGGCGATGCTTGAAAAAACGTGCTACCGCCTTTCCAACGTGTACAACACAGAAACGGACGAGAGAGCGAGTGAAGTTTCCTGTCGTACTCTCAGTTACCACAATGACACACCAGACAACCCTCCAGAAACTGTGCTCTCCCCTCACCTCTTTCCGAAGCCATTGGCCTTCTAAGGAGATTTTCACCTAGAGAACAGCCCTCCACAATGCACCTACAAAGCTAGATTTTACTGAAGGATGCTGATAGATGCGAATTACCTTTCGGACCATCTGCACAAAGTCCTTGGCATTCTGAGGAGACAGTCCTTGTAGCTGGCAGGTACAAGCCTCAAGAGAGGAAGCATGGGCCACTAGCAAAATGTTATTTCCTGCAGGGAGAGAGGGAGAAAATGCAGAGCATTGGCACACTGGCTTAACTTTCTAGGTGCGAGCTTCCTGTTGTATTATGCAAAAGTCTGTTCTAAAGTCTTGACACTGGTCTTGCTGGGTAGGATAGGACTGGTAAGAACACTACATGTTTTCTGAACACAAAAACTCACCCTGACCTGGGGCCAATCACAGGCTTTCAGCCCAACCTACCTTGCAGGATAAGATTGAAGGGGGATTATATAAGCCCCTTGAGTTCTTTGTACGGAAAAAGGTGGGGTATAAATCTAATAAATAAATAAATATGATTGAGTAGAGAAGCAAACAGGGAGGAGGGAGAGCTTCACCCTTTCCTCACTGGCTTTGTTTTCTCCTGCTGCTCTCCCCACAGTGGGAATGGAAATGCATGTGTATCTCCTCTCACCTCCCAGAGGTGCTTTCCAAATGTCAGGGGTTCGGTTGCATGCATTTGTATGGACCGCTAGGAAATGAATGGGGTGTCCATCAAATTTTCTGGGCAACAATTTTAGGCCAAGGAAGAGAAGTTTAAATTTATCCTCCTAGCAGGCAAGACTTCTGTTTAGAGAGCAACATATAAATGTGGAAAGGGCCAGTTTACATGTGCGTATTTGTCAGTGCAAGAACTCCGTCTTTATGGATTATATATTTTACCTGATTTATACTCCAAGAGATGAATGATAAAAATAAATCAAATTATGCTAGCAAAATTGTGGCTAGTCTGTCTGGGAAGGCTTGTTTAAATAAGAATGTATTCAGCAGGGGCTGAAAACAAAACCATGTTGGTTCCTCTTGACATCAAGAGGCAGAGAGTCCCAAAGAGAAGAATCTAGTGTGCTGATACCTCATCTGATGGGCCTCCAGAATGATCAGAGGTCCACGAGGAACCACCAAGAGTTGTGTGCTTGAGGACCTCAGGAAGAGGCAGGCCAGTAAGAGAGATCATTAAAGATTACCTTTTATGAAGATTGACTCATTATACCTTCCCGATAATCACCAATGCTTCCTGTGGCTTGGTGACATGCCCCGTTTTCTCCTTAAATTTATGCAGAACATTCATAATAATACATGCAGCCTTCCAAGGCTCCCAATTTCCAGAGACATTCTTAGGGGAAAGTTTCACTGAACCCAACAGGATTAATTTCCGGGAAAACATGTACAAGCTTGAGCAGTAAATTGTTCATTGTACACTGGGGTTTCACTTGCCTTTGGATTTACATTCACTTAAAATCTCTTTTGTTACTTGGTAACTTCTGCTGATGTATGTATCATATGACTCAGAGATGCCTAATTTGCTCACTGGTATATGAGGTCTGTGGAGAGAAAACATATCACAAAAGTGTAACTGCGGAGCGAAATTGGAAATGGAAGAACCTGTGACTCACCAATAAATCTAGTCAAACAACCAAGAAAGAAACAGCCTATTGCAACCAAACAATCTCTCTTGGCTTAGGACTCAAATATCAAAATTCAGAATAATAGTATGTGCGTGTGTACAAAGAGGGAGAGAACCAAGATGACATTTGCCATTAATTCTGGTAAAGATGGGCAGACATCTGCCAACACATAGGAAATCATTTTGGTTTCTTATGTACACACACACAAACTCAAATACAGCTGTCTTTGGCACTCTTCTGTTCAGACATCTGGAAGGCACCAGGTTGAGGAAAGCTGTCTTGACCTTTGCCTTGTCATGTTCACAGCACATGAGGAATATAAATCTCAATTTTTGCCTTTCCTTCAGGTTGAAAGCTAGTTGGGTTTGGGGGTGTTTTGCCCATGGATGGTTCTCTGTCATATGTTGCTTCCTTTCAGCATCCCCTTCTCCTCTCTAGCATCTTTCAGCCTCCCTGGCCTTTCATCTTTATTCTCCAGGCATACCCAGAAGAGATCACTTCCCCCTCACATGCTTTCCCATTGGTTGCTGAGTGCCATGAATGAGCTGCCCAGGCTCCCAAGCAGGGCCCTAAACACGCCCCCAGATCCCAGAAACAACAGTTTGCATTATTACCCGAGGCCTACCTATATGTTGTATCTACACTAAAATTTGCCGCTGCTAAGTCCACCGGAGGTATCCAGGCAGGCAGGGAATTCCCAGGGACCCACTTAGTCCATTCAAACAACCCCGGCTCGACTCGAATCTTTAGGTTACTTTCTTGTTGCAAGCCTGCAAATTGAACAATGAAAATTCAGCCCATCAGAGAAGGAATTCATTCAAGTCCTGGATCAGCTTCAGAATGGTGGTGACCAGATTACTTCCAGATTTTCTATGGTTTATAACACCTTTGACCAAAAATCCTATATTTTTAGTTCTAGTCTTTGCAGTGGGATGTTAAGAGTTGTAGGTGTGGGTGAATCACGTATTGCAAATTCCTGCAAAGAAGCAGAAATAGCACCAAAGTCAGATGCTTGTTGCTGATGTAGACTTCTGTTCCTTATATGGAACTCTGTAACACCCACCATGCAAGGAAACTTCATTCGATAGGTTTGTTCATACAAGAAGACAACTGTGCCTGAATGGTGGCTTGTGGTTGAAGTATGGGTTGTTGTGTTGTGAGCATCCAGTGGCACTAACAAACCATAGTTTATTAACCAGGAACTGTGATACCCGTTCACAGCTCTCCTGGTTTGGGAAGACGTGCACGCAGTGAAGCCGAGTTGGCTGAGTCCCAGAATGAGGTGGGATTGCATGATTCTATCAGGGTTTCTTCTGCTCCACCCTTTCCTTCATTAGGCACCGTAACGGAATTAAGCATTTTATATAAATGGGGAATCCATTATAGGGCTTTGATGGCCCTGGGCTTCTGTGTTTTCTCCTGCTATGCTTGTTTCTCTGTCCCTTTTTATCCTCTCATCATTTATGGCCACCAAAAGGGGGTACCAGTCCTACTTATGTACCGAACCATTTGTTCTTCCTTGGGCAGAAAGTAAGTGAGAAGATGAACAGACCAGCCCTTTCGCTGCCTCTTTACCTTTCAAAATATAGTGTGCCGTCTGTACGCAGCGCAGGGATGGGGAGCAGTAGATGTGGTGGATGATGGTGTTGCTCTCGAGGAGGGCCTCACCTGTTAGAAAACACACCTTTGAGTTAAAGGGGGAATATGAACTATTAGCATCCCAAGAAAGTCAGAAACGGGCAATGTGTGGGCAAAACAGGACCCCTGGCTTGCCTGTAGCGTGCAGGCTTTGTGTGTAGATGGTCCCAGGTTCGGCCTCCAGCATCCCCAGGAGAAAGTTAGGTGTGGGTTGTTGTTGAAACCTGGGTTACTATGTTGTCTGAACACAGCTGGGTTAACAAACCATGCCAAAAATCGACAATCCATCAATAAACCATAGGTCCGCTTTATAGGCTTTTAGTGGTTAGCATCCCAAGTCTTCCTAGAATGGCTGGATTAAGACAACATGATAACCCATGTTTCCGCAAAAACCCAGACTTGACCCTTACTCCAGCCCTGATGTGGATAATTGTATTGATTGTGCCAAACCACTAAGCGATGTAGGCAATCATATTTAAACTGATGCTGTTGTGAGTAAACAAGGCTGCCCCTATCTTATTTGCAGGGTGCTAGAAGATTTGCAATTCTGGGTAAGTTATACAGTTTACCAGTCAACAGATGACTGCCATTTAATAACACCAATTATCTAGTTAGATATTAAGAGAGAGCTTTGTGTCAATTCATTCCTGATCGTTAACAGTTTCCTATTTAAAACTGGACATTTCCCACTACAGCCACTTTTTTCAAATCTGCCCAATAACCATGTCTGTCAGTTCTGGAACAAACACAATTAGGAGGTCCTAAGGCAGTACTCAGCTTTGGCCTGCAGGTGGCAGTCATGCTGTACCTACCAACTCTTCCAAACCGGTGGGAAGTTAAAAAGTATTACTGGGGTTTTCCAGCCACTGACTCCATCCTGCCTTAAATATAGAATCGTAGCATGTGGATTCCCAGCAACAGTTGTTTTTGAGTACCCAAGCCTGTCCATTTAGCTGCAGACTGGGAATTACACTGCCTACAGTTGTGCTCTGTTTTATTTTGGCAGCCCACCAAAACAAGGAGAACAATGGAAAATATTCCAGGGAGACTACACCCTATACTTTTGGACAGAGAACAGTAGTCAAACTGAAATCTTATCAGAGTTGGTCTGTATTTGTTGTTGCTGTGCAAGATGTATACAGAAGTTTTTTTAAAAGATCTGAGGAAAATCAAGGGAGAACATGGCAGCTAGTTGGACAAAGAGTCTCGCCTGAATAAGGCAGCTGCCCACCTTCGTAAAAAAGACCCAGGGGTGGTGGGAATTAGGGTTTGCATCAACAGAAAATCACGAAAACGGAAGAGGAACTGTAGTTGGCTGAATTAAGTGATGCGCCCTCTCATGGTCAGTATGGTTGTAGGGTTAGTAATTAGAGTTCCTGCCTGGGTTAAACCGGGCTGCTTGAGTCCTTCTCCGCCTCTCAATCACCAATCCAGAGCTGAAAGAGGACCCAGTTGTAATAATGGAACTTGATCAGAGGAACCATGAGAGGTGAGGACTGGGGCCTTTGGGTGCCCCCACCCAAAAAAAGCAACACTGCTGAATGCAGTGCACCTTGCCTGGCGTTTCGTCTGTCTCATTTCGCTGCAGTGCCGTATTTCCAGGTTTATATTTATATCCATTTGCTGGATTTTCAGTGTGCCCTATTAGCCACATGGGTCCCCTTTGTCACCTCCATCTCTGAAGAATGGAAAGACACTCACAGAGGTGATGGAGCAAAGTGTGTTTGATGCTGCTGCAAAGCAGCTTTCCTCAGGTGGCCACCATGTAGATGTTCTGGGCAACTCACAGCTTCAGCCACTGGGTGGCATAGAAAGGAAATAATAATAATTGCCATCCATGCAAGCTGGGCTGCTAGGAAGATAGGATGAGAAATGATGGGTTCAGCTTTACTAGAGAGGGGATTCAGATGAGACCATTCGTCCATGGAGCTGGCAGCTTTGAAAGGAGATGGACTCTCATTTACTGGCAGTTTGGAAGCTGAGAGATGACACCCCCCCACCCATTGGGCACTATTGTATGGACTCCTCTATTGGGGGATGGATTAGAAGACCTTTGAGATCCCTTCCAGCTCTATGATCATATATTGCCACCACAGTAAAACCCCGGGTGTCCTATATACTGCAGTGAACATCTGGATTATCCACAGTTCGGTGGGTTGAAGAGGGGACAACCCTTCCCTGGAAGTGGTGTTCACAGCCAAAATGTTCACATTTTAAAAATCAGTGATTCCATGTGCATTACACCTTGTTCTGCCCTTTCAATGGATGCCAGGCAGTTTTCATGCTTCCTCTCCAGATCCATGCAAAGGGCTCGCCAAGAGTCAGTGACTCTCGCAGCAAGCTTCACGGCTGAGTGGAGACAAGAACCTGGCTCCCCTGAGTGCCTAACCACTGTTATGCCACATGGGCTCCCTCCTTGTCTTCCCTATTTGGGAAATCTTGCACCGAATAGGCCAGAATCCGGCCTTTCATTCTGCACCACCAGCATCTCCAGGCCTGGAAGCTTTCCCAGCAGCTTTTGCTTCCCAAAACATGCTCTCGGATCCATGTGTTGTTTCCCTGCCAAACATTCTTCACTGCCAGACCCCTAGTGTGTGTGCAAATGAAGATCACAGCTTAAGTCATCACGCTCTGCACCCATCAGGATAGCCAGCGCTTCTCGTCTCGCACCGGAATGTGTACAAATGGTGCCACAGAAGGACATCAGTGCTGCCAGATGCCAAACTGTTTATGCAGATTCTGTGCAAATCATAGCACCCTCATTGTCTCAGTCAGTCAGTCACAGGCTAGTGGCAATTCTCTGCTTGGGAGCTGCTTTCCACACCGCTGCTGAAAAACCTAGCATTAGCAGCAAAACATATTTAATGGTTAATGGAGCCGTATTTTTCCATCGCTTTGTTCTCTCTCTTGCTGCCTCAGTCCTGGAGCCTTTGGTGTGGAGCCAATGCAAAATTCAGTGTTTCAACAACTTAAGACTTACTGCAATAGAGGATTGCTGTATGAGGTGAGGAGAAAGGAGGAAGACCAGAAGGAAACAGATTTTTCTCTGGCCTGGACTAAAATCTGAGCCAGGGAAGAACCATTGCCACATCTTCGTGCTCACCTTGTATTGAAGTGAGCACTGGGAGACCCCAAGATGTGTATTTCCAAGCTTAGAAATTCAAGGCAACCACGGTGGATCAGTGGTGGCCTTGATTGGCAATGGGGCCAAAATACCTGAAGCATCAGCCTCATTTAGCCTAAAGGTGTTGCTGCCAGTAGCAAAGCCTTATGAAACCTTTCAGGAGGAAAAGGCAGGGCAAAGGTGGAACCACCAAACACCTGGTGGGTGGGGGAAAGGAAGCAGTGGCACGTATGTGGTGAAGCCAGGCTGGAACTTCAGGTGTGCCTCATTTGGTTCACAGGTTTGCAACTCGATGCCCCTGATTTAGTGGTTAGAAGAGTGTGTCTTTCTCTCTCTCTCCGTACATGCTGGTGTGTGTCTGTCTGCCTGTGTGTATGTTTCTAAGCACCGCTACGCATTGCAAGCCTCAGACATGGTCCATGCATGTTCCCACAAGTGCTGCTCTTGCTTCTGGGTGGCTAACAGCATCCTTCCAGTAGAAAGGAAAGAAGGCTCAAAAGCACAACTTTTGGGGAGTTCTGCATGAATGGTGGCAGGGCCCCACCCCACTCCTTTTATGGTCCCAGCAAAGGGAAGCCTACCAACAAGTCTTGCTTGTGTGCATCCAAAGACTGTGATGGGGGCATCTTTCTCATAGTCCCTAAAACCACCAATGCGTTGAGGTAGGCTGTGAGGCATATTCAGGTTTGTTCGTCCATATCTTCCTGCCAGGAAACACAAGAGAAAGCGGTGCATGGATTAGCTGGCTTTCCAAAGCCACGTTCCCTAGGGGTCAGTTCTCACAGTATGACGTGAGCTGGCACTTTCTGCCCACCATTCCCAAGAGGCACAAGCCTTTCGGAGAGGTGTCTGAAATTCCCAAAAAGGTGCTTCTGTAGCAGGGAACACCAAAGGTGTGTGTCTCCTTTCAAAGTACACCTCAGAAAAAGTACACCTCAAAACTTGCGGATTTTACTGTGAAGGAGGAAGAAAAGGCACTGGCCCCCGTTACGGAGTAAAGATCACATGGTTTTGCTTTGCCTTACCTGATGACAGCTGTTGTGTCAAACAAAAGTAATAAATAAATTACTTTGCCCCTATTGGGGTCAACATTCACCTTAGGTATCTGTTGCTTTTTGGCAGAAGGTTCCTACCCCTGGACATTGCCCAGGTTAAGCTTTGCATTTGAGAACACATTTCTATACTTGTACAAGTCTGGCTACATTTTAAAAAATGAAAAATGTGCACATTTGGTGCACAAGAAAAAATGTGAGAGTGACCAACCAGTGATGGGGGTGGAGGGACCTTGGACATTTCTATTTTTAGGAGTAGAACAAGATTTGTATTAAACCGTTCCACAAAGAGAGAAGCTTGTAACTAACCCAGTTCATATTGCATTTCTTCAGAAAGAATTAAATGAGTACATTGAATTACAATAGAAGGAACTTTACCTTTGGCATCAAAACATTGTGATAGCCAGTATTTTCCAAAGACGACATCCATCCTTTCTCCATGGCGACAAACGAAGAGACATCTCTTCTGAGGCCCAGGTGTGTTTGCAATCCGTAGGGGCTGAGAGCAAGTGGAAGCAACACATTGGTACCTAAAATCTCAACTTGCCCTTTTCTTCTCTTGTGGCCCTGTCTACCTGAGAGACATGTATATAATTCATCATAAATAGAAGTGTGCCCTACACACATATTGTATTCCATTCATTCTGCCTGCCATCCAATTCATTCTGCCATCCATGGACTGTCAGGCATCTTTCATCTCTCATCCACTTACTGACAGATGTCTTGGACTCCACCTCCCATCAGAACCAGCAAGCCCCATATTTTATGTACATATGACAATTTCATTCTACTTGTGCAAGTGCACACCAGCACCTACCTTTGTGCAAGGGTACTTTAGTGCTAATGAACACTTGCATTAATGCACACTGGTGCAACTCCCCAAAAGGTAAAAACTGGTCTCATATCCACGGAAACTGCACAACTTGGAAAAAGCCCATTGCCTCTGGAATTTACCGGTAGGATGCACAGAAATCAGAACTCATTTGTCTCCACTGGAGATTTTTCCAATATCCGTACCTGCATACTCTGACAAAAGATAGTGAGAGGCCCGGCATCGCACGGTCCCTGATCTTCCTGCAGTCTTCGATCCATCACCCCATCAGTGAACATCAAAGACGGGGAAGTGGCATTCAAAATAGAATAAGACCTGTCAGAACAGACACAGCTGTTTTGTACCTGCTAAAATTGATTTATTCTCCATGATCTGCAACCCACCTCTCCATATAAAATATTCAGAGGATTGCTTAAAATATGTATTAGACTAAATAGAATAATAAATCACATAGCAATCACCAATGCTAAACAAGCAGAGATATAATATCTATTGGAGGCAATAAAAACACGGTGCTCAGCTGTCTTCCTGCCCACTCAGTTTTCCTTATCTCACCAGAAGCTAGACCATTTTATTTCTTTGTTTATTATATGCTATTGCATTCATACATTTTAATTAACTGAAAATGTGTCAGGATGGTCATAGACTGCAATAACGTCTTTATCCACTGAGGGCTAACTCCCCTAGCCAGTTTATGGCTTTGTAGTCCACAGAGTTAGAAGCCAAGGGGAGATTAATAACCAGATGGAGGGACAGAACGGGATGTCCACCCACTTCCTGCTTCTGTGGGATAGCCCCCCTCAGAGGAACGGAGTGGCAGGCCTTCTGTCAGGGCCTTACAGGGCATGGCATGGCTGGGGCTGTGCTAGGAAGATTAACAGGCCTCCTTTCATTCAGATGGGGAGGGCGGAAGTACCCAACCGTGGCAATGGTGTAAGTTTGCTTGAAAGCGCCACTGCATCAAACGGAGGATTTTTCCAGCCCGTGCAAAGCCAGGTCCGTCCCTTAGCCAACAATAAAAGCCCCCATCCCCTAGGTGCACAGGACGTGGTCCACTTACCCGTGGAACACCCAAGTGCCACACTCATCTGCTTTGGTGATGTAATTCTCAGGCAGTAGCCCAGAGCATCCGGTTGCAAGAGAAGTACCATAAATCCAGCCTTCACTGGTAGTGATTTGCTCCACAGGCGACATGAAGATAAAATCTCCTGGAACAAGCTCAAGTTCATCATCATTCTGTGGGGTGTATGGGTAGATCACCTGCAGGGTCTACAAGAGAGGAGAGGAGAAGGGGAAAGGTGTCTGTGATCAGTTGTATACAAGTCCTTTGAAAAGCCAGTAAGCTCCATCTATGACGAGGCCTTCCATGTAAGAAGAAGCATTCCATCTAAGACATCTAAGAAGAGGCCTTCCATCCAAGGAGAAGCATTTCATCTTAGAGATGCAACAACATGTATAAGCAGCATCCAAAACCAAACTATGCTTCTTGCTTCAGAGCCACTGTTTTTACTTACATGCATGTTCAAATCAATAAAATCGACTAGACTTTCTTTACTCAAATGACATTTGGTCCTGCTCTCATATATAAATAAAATTCCAAGTTGAAAATTCATTTCTTATTTTGAAAAGAGCAAAAGCCAGCAAACCTTTTGGCTTGGTTTACTGGACAGTGACCTGAGCTTCAGACAAAGGGCACTTTAACCCCTTCTTCACCAGAGTGGGCACAAGCAGCTTCAGCGGGCTCTCCAATTCTTATCTGCTTTGCTCCCTGATGTAACTCGGAGGACCAAACTGGATGTGTCTTTGCATTTCATGTGCAGCTTTTTTTAAATGCAAATGGCATCAGCTGGGGCATGCTAATAATTAATAGGAACAGGGCCACCTGCTGTGCCAAGGGCACAAGGAAAATGCTCCTTCTGAACATTATCTTTGGAATAACAACAGCATCTTGAAAGGTGGGATTTTCCTTTGGGGAGCCAATGGGGAGCAAAGCTTTAATGCCTTTGCCATGCCTACTTTGATCTCATTAAGCCCTACTCCTGATTTTCATTCTAAAAACTCCACAGCCTGGATGCAAAGCCATGCTGAAAGTCACCTGTGCAGCTTGGCCCAACGCCCAGCAAAAGGGCCTGAGCCCCTGGAATGCATAAGAGGAGAAGCCTGCAAAGGCCTCCCTTGCTGTTCACCAGAGATGGCGCAGAGGGGCTGAAGAACCTTTGCCTGTTTCCCAAAACTGGCCCATGAGAGTAGAAGTATCTGAGAAAACCACAATGGATTCACATGAATTTGGGTTTCTGTGAATCCAGTTTGCAGATTCTGCAGCAGACCAGTTCTTTTGGAGCCAAGTGGATTCCACAGACTTTCAAGCTGTTTTAAAACTTTTCTGGGGGAGGCAGAATTTGTGCAAATTCACACAGCCACGAATGTGCGTTAGTGCTAACTTATACTTTTGCTCATGCCCATGGGTGCAAATTAGGACTAATCTGTGAGTGAAATAAAATTCGCATTTAACCCTTGAAAACATTCCATCAATGGGTGGATGTTGCAGTGAAAGAAGCCTGAAATAAGCGACACACAGACAGAATGTTTTTAACAAAATCTAGTCTTCCCTAGAGATGAGACAGGGTGGGGTGACAAGAGGTCAAAACTGTGGGTGCTGCATTAAAACCTCAGGGCCAAAACTGCCTTATCATCATCCTGGCAGATAGTAAAACACACCTTTGCTCCTGAGGGCAGGACAAGAAGAAATGGGGGAAAGGGCAAGGAAGCAGATTTTGACTTAACATTACGAAATAATTGCAGCCATGTGAGCTGTTCAGCAGTGGACGAGATGTCCTTGGGAGGTTCTCCTTTGTTGGAGGTATTGAAGCCAAGGGTGGATGGCCACCTGTCGGGGTTGTTGTAGCTTCCCCCTGCAACGCAGAGCCCACATTGGCAGGGGATGATCTGGATGACCTCCAAGGTCCTCCCTGATTCTGCAGTGCCACGGTTCTAGGATTCTCCATAAAGAAGCCCACCTCATAATCCCACCCTTGCTATGCCTTTCAAACACAGATGTCATCCACAGGAAATCTGAGCCCACCAACAGAGTTAAGCTAGTCCGGATCAAGGCCTCTCCTCTGTTGGCGTTGAGTCGTGACCTTACCTCGTGGTTAGCAAATCTAATATCGCGGGAGAATATGGAAGCCACCCAGTCGCAACCCAGCTTGATGTCTATGCTCTGAGCCAACTTTTCAAGTGTGGGCAAGTGACCCGCTTGGAAGTGGTAAGCCAAGGTCACATGGAGCTGCTTCTTATGGGGTTCCACGTGGACATCTGCAAATTAGAAATCTGTGGTGAGTTACAACCCAGCCACTCAACGGGGTAACAACTGCCTTGATGGATCAAGCTGATGTCCACCTAGGCCAGGGCTGTGAAACCTCTTTCAGCCCAAGGACCAAATTCCTTTCTGGGGAAGCTCTCGGGGTGCGAAGGGTCCTCTGGGGATCACATGGCCTGATTTGTGTTCTGCACCCTTGATGCATTCCCAGCAGAGACCAGGGACATGCTACTGGGAAAGCTAATGAGCAGGGCACTAATGAAGCAAATGATCTCTCATTGATTAAGACTGCTGCTCAAGCCAGCTCAGTACGGGCTAGGCTGGTCAAGCTCAGGCAGAAGTTTTCTCCTGCTCTTTGGATATGCTGGAGTATGGACCTTTGACATCCTGTCTGCGCTCCACCCAACTCAGACACTCATACTCCCAATGGCCTTCCACCATCTGATCTCAGCATCTCGTGTTCAGGAGGTCTATTGCTACAGGGACAGAAGAATGAGGGTTATGTGGATTGAATAGAGAAGAATTGTGTGGTCGAAGCTGTTGTTGAAAGGTTTGCTTACGGGCCTCTTAAGACAGGCAGTGGTTGCAGGAAATGCTGGCGTTAGCAAACACAGAAAGCACATGCACATTTATCTGAAAGGTTAAAGAACTGCCAGCTTCCTTTTCAGAAGATAATGAATCACGGGAAGTATAGATTGTACTTTGCTTTTTGATGGACCAGCCAACACAGACCTCAAAAGTGTTCTCAGCTTAAAAGTGAATGATCAAAACCACAGGAGTTCAAAATATCTCTCCTTCGTGGGCGGGCTGAGGTGGTTTTGCATTCGAGAATCATCTCAAGGTTTTTGAAGCAGAGGGATCAATACAGGATATGGACAAAAGTCATATTTCTCTCCCTCTCTCTCTCTCTTCCACACACACACACAAACACTCACATGGAGTCCTGACCACACCTAGCTAGCCTACACAACCTATGGAGCAGGTGAATCACCAGGTCCCTACAGAGGAAAGCAATTTGGAAGACTACAGAGCAAGTGAGCCAAGTACATGTGGAAGGGGGAAAGTGTGACAGATCTAATGAAGAATAGTTAAACCAAAGCTAAACCACACCATTTTGCATATTCCACATGCAATACAGCATTTATCCAAAGCATTCTTCTCCCACTCTACTGCCAGGCCTCTCCGAGTGGCTCTCCAATCTCTGGAGCAGCAATCTCTCAAAATGCTCTTCTGTGAGAGGCATTTGACCAAAAGATGGAGGGCTGCTGAGCAGGGATGCGGCCGCAGAAGGAGGTTGTCTTGCAGAGCTCCCGTGTCGGCACCAGCTCCAGCATTCAGACAGCCCTGCCCCCTCCAGGGTCCACCTTCTCGTGTGTGTTGCCAACACAGGCATGGTGAGAGCATGCTTGCTGCACAGGCAGAGAGGTGGATCTCCTGCCGCTCCTTCTCACCATGACCATTGTCTGGGTAGGCGAACAAACAGCTTGTAAAGAGGAAGAAGAGGAACAGCTCCAGAAGGTTCTTGCTAATTGGACCCTCTGGGCCATGCCTGCCACTGAGGTTGGTCCTGCTTCCAGCTCTATGATTCAATGAAAATGCCTGTTGAGGTTCTTTCCTTAGATCCTCCACCATTTGCCCATGACTTTTGGGATGAGGTGGATGCTCCAAAAGGCAGGGTCTTTTCTGTGGTGGCATCTGGGGTAGAATTCTTCTAGATCCATGATTCTGACACCATTCTTGTTATCTTTTCGGTCCTAGAAGACCTTCATCCCATTCCCCACCACCTTTTAATAGTTGTGTTACCCCTTTTATCTGCTTATTGGAGACAGGCTATTATCTTTTGTTATATTATTTTTGTTGTGTTTTATGTCTTTTTGTTATTGTTTTAAATCTCCAACAAGTTTGAGGCGGCTTTGAAAACTGATAAATATGCACCCACAAGCATAGCAACAGAGGAACAAGTTTTTTTAAAAAGAACAACCGTCTGGATAAATAGAAATATAAACACTGAATGTACTATATATCCAGTCTTTCCAGTATGATCACTATGCTCAGGGCAGCTGCTAACGAATTTGAAAATTAGCTCAAAATTTTAACAAAACAACAAAAGAGTAAGAACAGGAAGCAAACAATAGGAATGTTTTCAAGCTTGGGAACATGGGTCATTAGAAAGCAATCCACTTATTAAATCAAATGACCTGGTTAGATGGCAGAAGGCAAGGAGGGACAGAAATGGAATTCTAGAGGCAGAGAGTTTCAAAATCTGGTTTAAATTAAAATTATTTAGCCTACAACATGAAGCCAATCGCAACAGTAGTAAAATGCAAGAAGCTGGGTTAAAACACTCAAGTACATGCAAATATCGTAATCTGAAGCTGAAAGGATGTAAGTGTAGGCACCACTGAGTGAAGAGTGTGTGTGTGTCTGTGTGTGTGTGAGGGGAACATTTGACAGATGGGGACGCCATCACGGAAAAGTCCCTGTTCTCTCTTCACCACGTCTGACCTCAGCAGGTGGGACCTGGGGACCAACTGGAGGCCGTCACCAACAGATTTTACAGAGGTCAGTTTCGCAGAGGAACAGGAAGCCCTTGAGCTATCGTGACATCGAGCTGTATATGGCTTTACTAGCTTTTGTGTGCCTTTTGTGTACAGGAGAGTGCTTCCTATTTTACACTGAAGGCTGTATGCAGAACAAGGGAGATAAATAAGATACAGCATTATTTATGCTCATTTCATCCTGCCCTGCGTACTCACCAGCCTTAGAATTGGCTTCTGCGGCAAAGTCGGCAGCAAACTTTTTGAGGACCTCGGCACTGTCCTCTTTGACGAAAAGCCCGATGAAGTTTGAGGAGGTGTAGAGCTCCAGGGGCAAAGGAGCTGGGAACTTGCACCTCCACCGTGTCACCGTGGCATGCAGAGCTTCGCCCAGAGCGTCGGCCTTGCTGTCCTCACACTGCAAAAGAGCGGTGATGAAGCCATGAGGTCTTGAAACTTGTGTCGTCATTGTCTCAAATTTTTGCAGTATTCTGAAAGTCTGCGAATGACGGGATTTTATGCCCTGCAGCGGGCTCCTAGGGGGCATTCTAAGCTCTCCGAGTAGGAAATTGTGAGTTTCCCATAATAGGAAAACAATCTTTTGTAATGATCAGCACCCTCCATTTTCTCAGTAATCATTGAAAACACAGGATGTGCTACCTGGGGTCACCATCGCTTAGCAGCTGAGTGTATGCTATGCAGCCAGAACTTCTCGTGTTTGAGCCCAGCATTAAAAAAATGTCAGGAAGAAGGGGATGTGAGCCTGAGATCTTCAGAGGGTGCTGCCAAGAAAGCAGAGCAGTTTCCAATCCAGAAACTAGCGTTGTCTCTCATGCATGAAGCCTCCGTCAACTGGAACTGGATTTTCTTTCCAACACCTTTTTTAGAATCAAGGTCTGGTACTCATTTTTTAGCCAACAGTAAGCCTCACCTTCCCCTCTGATTTTCTATATACAGTATAGTACCTTTTAAACTACTTTTTAAGGGCACATTCCACATTATACTGATTATTACATCTCACACTAATATTCTTTCTTGGCTGCCCAGTTTCCTTTGTTAGAAGGTTCCACAATACGGGAACTAGTTTGGCATCTGAAGTAAGGGAGTCTTTCAGTCAACTAGACTCCACACTGGGTTTTAGTTCCCTCAACTCTTTCATGCTTTACACACATTTTTATTCAACTCCATGGTCTATTTTAGGCTTCTCCTGGATTCACATTCAACTAACTTCATTGGAGCAGCTTGCACTGAAGTTTGCACTGAGCAAAAGAAAGAAGGCTAACTCAATTGGGGGAGAAGGGTCACTAAGAGAGTGTGTTTCCACCTGAAAGGTACTGTCATATTTACCTACCCAGACATTAAAATCTCCTGCTACTAAAACATAAGCAGGTACAGACTTTCCCCATTCTAAAACATACTCTTCCAATTCAACCCAGTAAGATTGAGATTCAGGTAGGCTGGATTCGCCCCGAGTTTCTGCTTTCTCGGATTAGATGGACCAAAGATATTTTCTGCTGTTATCGGCATTTCTAAACATGTGCATTTCCAAACAGGTGCATTTAGCCCCAGGCTGAGGCAGGTTGTGCGGTGCCTTCTGCAGTCACTTTGCACACAGTGGCACTGGGCAATGGCTGGGGGTTCAAATTTGACCAGGCACGGAGAGGAGCAAGGTGGCAAAGGAAAAACACTGACTCACCATGAAGAACTGGCAGAGCGTGATGTGGGGGAAGATGTTATGTGCTTTGTTCTTCCCACACAGCTGCTTTGACTGCTGCCAGAATTCGGAAAGCTTCTGCGCTAAAGGGCCGGTGGGACGCAGGTAGAGGACATATTCCCGAGGCAGGGAGTCATCGAGGAAAGGATCACAGACGTGGGAAAACAGCCTACAGCAGGGGAAAGGAATGGTCATTTCAGGAGAGCAGAAGGCAGGAAGTCTGACAGACGAATGGCAACAGATTGTCAATGCGGAGGCTGCGATGCGTCTTGCAGGAGACATTGAAGCCTGTGGCAGGGGAAATGAAACACACGCCCCCCTCTCCGGTTGAAGAAACCACCCAGAATGTAATACTCCTGCATGCACACAAGGTCCTACCTTCTGGGGCTGCCTGACATATAAGAGTAAGCACATTAAACGGATGAAATGTCTGTAGCCATGTGCCAGGGCTCCCCAAATTTTGTGTTCTGAGCACAGCTCTTTGTGAAACTTTGGCTCTCCCTGCAGCTGATTTTCTGGAGCAGTATTTAAGTGGATACAATGGGAAAGGCGGAGCCGAGGAGTCCAGAATGTGGGTGGAATCTTCCATGCGCAGATGGAAGGGATCTGGGTGCAGCTCCCGACATGGGAGCAGATTATGAGCCTCTGAGTATTGGAACACCGTTCCAATTACGGCAGATAGAGCTGCAATAAATGGCATGCCACCCATATGCCCCAACCGTCCCTGTTTACTAGGAATGGCTCCCAGTTCCTGATCACCATCCCCAGTAAACGGCTGCCTCTGACACGGTCCCTAGTTCTGCCTTAGTGAAAATCTGGTCGCTGAGGCTCGCTGTACAACATCCTCTGCTAACTTCCTTTGTTCAACTTTCCCAGGAGTTAAGTCTTTGGGTCAGCCAAGGATGCATTTTGTTGTACTGCACATGTCTGTCAGCACCCGTCCATGCGCCTAAACATTATGGTGCTCCTTTTTGTGCTGAATGTACCAAGCTGGAGAGGTTCATTCTGAGCAGCTCTGGCCCATCTGGCGTTCCTATATCCCTATAGCATAATCTCTGAATTAGGCCCACTCACAGATCACAAAATGGTTTTGAGATCTTCACGTCTCTTCATCTGGTCAGGTGTTACAAAAGGGAGGCTGGTCGGGGGGACTGGAACCGCGTGGAAGAAAAAGGGCTGGCAGGAAGGTACAGCCAGGATGCCTTCACGTTGATGCTTTGGAACAGGGGACAATTAACTTTTGCTTGTGTATCTTTTAAAGCCCAAAGGCCCTCCTGACTTTCAAGAAGGCCACAGATGAAACTGCAGCAGTGTAGATTAATACTGCCTGTGGAACAGGGTGGTGGTAGGACCAACTCAGATGGCAGCCTGTGCCATGAGAACTTGCCAGTCCCTGTTTTTATCTGTGGAAATCTGGAAGGAGTCTGGGTGAGGAGCAGCCAAGGTTCAGCAGAACAGCCTACGCTCCACAAGCAGAAGGTCTCAGGTTCCATTCCCTGGCTTCTGCAGGAAAAAAAGACCTTCCAAAAGGCCCGGAGATTCACTGCCAGGCAGTGCAACAAAATGAGCCAAGCCAGCTAGTCCAATGGACCATACGGGAAAATTAATCACACAGAGACAAGTATGATCAGATCTCACATGTTTTAGAATATTGTAATTCATACCAACCAGTCACACGCGGCTTGCACACTTCGGCCCCCCGTGGATGCCAGGGCTTTCTGTCTGCAAAAAAGGAAGAAGCCAAGAGAACATTCTTAGTGCAGTCATGAGCACCAGATGGCAGTCAAGGGCAGTCCACTGCGGCGGACCGAGCTTCAAAATAATAACAAAAAATCCGAAGAAAGATTTGCTACTACAATCTCTTTCTTGTCCTGAAATTCTCCCTCCGCATCGCCTTGTTTTGTCAAAAATTACTGCTGGAATCCTATTTTTTCTCTCCCCCACACAAAGCTGCTTCACCCCAGTGATGATTTTCCTTGGAAACATCTTTGTGCTAAGAAGCCTGACTGTATAACCAGGCAAGCAGACTCTAGAGAGGAACCAGAGTCTCCATGGAGACAACATAACATAAAATATATGGTTTTAAGTAAATAAGCATCCCTTCGGGAGGCCCTGAACTCTGGACCACGTATGTCCGCCTGCACAGCTCTGCCTTCTCCTATCCGGTGTTCTCCAAATGTCTTGGACTCCTCCAGCCGGCATGGGAGTCATAGTCCAGAGCATCTGGAATGCACCAGTCCAGAAGAGACGGGTCCAATCTATTTCTCACTCCCTGCTTCACCCCCACTAGTCCTCCGGAGAATCCAGCTTCGCTCCATGACAAATGGCTTATGCATTAACACTGCAGCTGCAATTTCATGGTAGTAAAGAGTCTGGCTTGTTGGATGGCCCCCTCTTGAAACTCTCAGGAGAGGGTGGGGAAAGAAGTCTGAGAGCAATTAAGTAGCCAGTTCTTATTTTCCAGCCGCTGCCTTTTTCGAAACAATCTGCCTTTGTTTTACTTGTGTTGACAGCTAAGCCTGTCTCAGAACCGTCTTATCGATTCGTGATCACGGCTCTTTGCTCCTTCTGGGGCTTCTGTCCCGGCAAAATGGGCTGTGAGTTATTTCTGTCCCAGGAAAGGAGCTCCTCAGAGGTGCACGATGCCCTCCCTGCCTGTTTGTTAGCCTCAGGAAGATCCCGTGAGGAGTTTTGTGCCACTGGAGAGTGATTGGCCCGAGCCTGCTTTGACCAAGCGGGAAATCAAACCTAGGACTCCTTACCCTGCTTGAACTCTCTAGCCCAGAGCCACCAGCCACCAGCCAAATCTGGCCTGCCTGGGACTGAATCGTGCCTCAGGTTCCTGCTCATCCCCTTGCCCCCTTTTCCCTGGGGAGATCCTGGCTGTTCAGTGCTTTCCCGGCTTTCCCCGCTGCCTTCTAAAGGAGGCTTTGCCTTCTCTCGAGGCTTCTACTTGAAATATTTTGCTGTTTTTGGCCCCATCCTCTTGCATTCAGCCTTGATCCTTCTGCCTTCGGATCCGCCCACCACTAGGATGTGCCCTGAGAACTTCTCCAAGATTGTGCTGGAGAAGTTGAAAGCTGACAAACTGAAGAAGGTTCACCTCCCCTGCGCTAATCATTGGATCATACTGCCCTTCCCATGGTGCAGGCTGCCTGTCCATGGCAGCTCACAGGTTTGCCTGTTTCTTTAACAAAAACAGAAACATGGTAATAGGAGTCCTGGGAAGGGAGAGGATCCAAATGAAGGCTGCAGTGTTAGAAGGAGAGTGAATCATGGATCTACATTATTTTCCTGCTCGCCACAGCTGCTAATGGCCCCTAACAAGGCAGGCATGTTTTGCCCTGTCAAACAGATCACTTGGAACCCCATTCACCTAGTTGGAGGAAGGAGACAAAATAAATACACAACAGAAACAAACCGCTGCGAATTCGAAGGGGGATTCCGATCAAGAACGCAGCATCTGGGGCTGAGTCAAGCCCCTCTTCTCCCGACATTACAGCCCTGGACTAACCATACCGCCCCCCCACCCGCCTGGGCTTCTATTTAGCACTTTTTAAATGTGGGGAGTCTCACACATCACACGTAGCCTGGAGAGAAGTCCATGAGAGGAGCAGCATTGGCCTCACTGCAGAGACACACCTGGCCTCACCTCCCAAGTGCAGCTAATATGGACCCTCTCTTAACCTCTCCAGGGATGGTGTTTTGGTGAAATAACAATCATCACACGATTCCTGTGTCCCGCCTACCATTCAAAATCTCTTCCAGAGTCATGGGCAAACCCTCCAACAACACGTCACTCAAGTCCCCTATGAGGTTCTGGTGCGGGAGGCTGAAAAATTCTGCATGAGTTCCAGGCTCTCTAACATTGGACCGGGACTTTCAGAACCCCTTCCCCTCATTAACCAAAGCACCATCCTCCTATCCTCTAACTTGCAACCCGAAACCCAAACACTTTCCGGCAAATGACTCCCTTTCTCAGGTTATGTGTGGCAGCGAGCAGCTATTTGCATTAAAAATTCATTTCCACCAAGGCCCTGCCTGGATTTAATATAGGAAAGAAATGCATTGCATCACCGGAAGCAACCTACTGGGGCTGGCTTCTTTCCTGTACCACTTTCAGAGGTCTCCCTGTCTCCCAGTGTCTTGCAGCACACACCAAAGCAGGAAAGGGCTGCCTGCACTATTTGAATGATTGCTGGTGTATTCCATTGAGAAATAGATTTTTACTTGGGAAACAGCACTTAACATTTCCTGGGGCAGGAAGAACTTGCAGCGGTCAGCCTTTTACAGGTCCTGTTTCCTCGAGGGACAGAGAACTGGTGACATGGGGCACGTTGCCAGCGTCTGTGTCATTCACAACTATGCAAGCCAAGTCGGGGGGGGGGGGAACATCTCTTTAAAGAGCATTAGTCTCCCACTCAGGTTCAGTCTCATAAGACATGTGTCTACATAAAATTGCCATCTACTCCTTTCTGTCAGTGAAAGCAAATTTAGAAAGAATGACTGGGATATGCTTAAACTTCACAGGCAGCCAAGACAGGCAACTAATTTATCAGCCACATAATCTCTGATAGCCCTTTCCCCCATCCCCCAATTTTTTTTTTCCTTCCTAGGTGGAATTGCCAAGCAGGAAAAGATGGAGGGTTGCAATTAACCCATCCATCCTCATCTGCAGTCACCCTCACACGTTGCCTGGAATTAAAATACCCCTGGACTCAGAACTTCCCTCAGTTCAAAGCATCCCTCTTCGAAGACTGTAAGCAATTCAGATTTCTGCTTCCTTTCCCAATTCTACTTAAAACTCTTCCTTCCATCCTCATTCAAGAGGTAGAGACAGGTAGCAAAGCTGGTAGTTGCAATCAGACAGATCAGTGCTCATCTGGGCAAGTCTCTTGGCACACCCAGTGTACACCAGAGAAGTATCTTGCTATTGGATGCTCAAAAGCATATAGAAACGACTGTCTCATTGTGTGACATCTCAGGAGCCAAAACTGCGAGGTACACGTCCTCTTCTGCAGCAACGTGGGCTTGGACCCAACTGGCAGCCAGCAGAAAAGCGCCTGCGTGTTTTGATCTCCTTGGAGAAAAGGGCAAAGCACACCCACCCACACCTGCTTGCACTGTGATCTTCCATTCATTTCAGCACCGTTTGACCCTCATGCAAATGTCAGACATTGTGCAAGAATGTGGAAAGGGAGTTACTGGCTGTGAGGCGGGCATTCTCTCCTCACAGTGGCCAACCAGATGCATATGTGCAACGCCTGCGAGCAGGGCAAAAGCACAGTAGCGCTGTTCCAGTGTTGAACGTACGCCTTTAATACCTGGGTAGGCAATATCCTTGCAGCAGTGGTGCACCTCCACCTTCCCACCTTGAAAAACAGTAAAAAAAAGTGGGGGCAGGGGGATCCAGCTCTTTTCAAGCTAGATCTGACTTGGACAGGGCTCTTTATTTTCCAGATCATTTTTCCTGCTGAAAACTCATCAAAAGAGGAAATCCGGGGTGCCAGAATCGTCCCAGCACTTCCCAAAGGTGCCTACCCTTTCCTTCACACTGGATAACATTCATGGATACAGAGAGGTTTCACTTCCCACTAAATTGCACTGCATGGACCACTCAGCAACTGCAAAGCAGGCGCGTTGCGTTCAACGCAGAGCTGTGAGTCGCTAAGTAAACGGAGGTTCTATTTACTGGAAAGGAAGTTATTGTAACAGGAAATGAGGCATTAGCAGGCAAGAAAAACAACAACACCATCAACAACCACCTAGATGCAGTATTTTCTGAACATGAGATGTGGTTCTTGGTTGGAACCTGGTCCTTGTTCATTTGGAAATTTATCTCTATGTACAACCCCCATCATGCACAACTGTTAAGCATCTTGGCTGGGGCTGACAGAAATCGCAGTCCACAACCCCAGGTGGCATCGGTTGAGGAAAGCTAGTGTGGGCTGCGCCTGGGTGAAAGACCTCCTCAGAAGCTCTGTATGCACCATGGAGCTGCCTCCTCTCTTGGTTAGGTAACAGTGAAGCAGAACCTTCTAATATACACGTCCACCTTTCGTCGGTCGCTTCCACATTTCAATAGAAGAGGAAAGGAAAAAAACAAGCCAGTGACATAAAGCATGCAAGGGCGACAGCAGGGAAAGACGCAGCCCCAAAACGAGTCGGGGAAGGAAACAGTTACGACTGCGAACGAACAGTATCTGTGGATGCTCTCTGCTTTTCCCAAGATGCTCCAGCAGCAAGAAGGCTGGAGGAAGAAGAGAAAAGAGTGAAAGAGGGGTGTGCGTGCGTGCGTGTGTGTTGGGGGGGGGGCACAATGTCTGCCCTAACTCTGCTAGATGCTCTCTTACATAACCCCTCACAAGCCGAGGGCGGCAGCCTGTGCGTCTCCTTGACACATGTGCTCCAGTCGTAATCTGCCGCTTCCCCGGCTCCTTAAATCAAAGCAAGGGCGGGAAGTGCAGCACTCTCGGTAAAGCACACGCACATGCAGAGAGGGTGCACACAAACCGTGCGGGCTAGTCTGTGCGCCTCTCTTTCTAAAGGAGAATGCGGCTGGTGCGTGAGATCGGCCCTGACGGAGGAGAGGGGGCATTTTAAGGACGCACGCTGCCGGGATTTCGGCTCAGACGAGAGTGCTGCTTGCAAAGCTGCAAGGACAGAGCACTGCAGAGGCAGAGGGCAATGTGCAGCCAATTAGCATAACTGGGGGCTGTTCC